ATCGGGTTACCAATGAAGGCCTTCCCCTACCCTTTTAGGAACCTTCTCATGTCCTAATATGTCTTTCCTTCTCCCGTATACTTGCTGTTGAAGGCATCGTGCTAACAGTGCGTTATCCATTGCCTGGGGGTATATTCGGGCGTTAACCACGACATCGCACATGAGTGCTAGAATATCGCATGCGGCATATGGCTCAATCCAGTAAGCTAGCATCTTTTATAAGTGGGGGGGCCTTATAATTCTGTGTAACAAGGAGCCTTCCCTTGCCCTTTTTCTCCGATGCCTTTATGCATTAATCAAGACCGAGGACTGCAAGTAAACGAACATGTGCTGGATGCCTCGTGCAGGCCGACTGGAACATCCGTGGTGGCATCGGCACGCGGTAGAGGCCTCTTTGCTGGAAAAAGTCATCTTGGAGTAGAAACAACGGGTTCCTTTGGGCCATGAGAGCTTCGTATGAGAGGAAATGCACGCCATGTGTGTCGCTCGTCAGTCTCGCGGAATCGAGCAGTCACCGTGCTGACTGCGTCTCCAGATGGCGGCACGCCGTCTCTCTCTGAATCTAGGTGATTCAACTCGCCCTGCATCGGCCATCCGAATATCTCCAATTGCTGTTCAGGCGGCCGTCACCAGCTTTGCTCTTGAATCCCGCGGCCTCCTTGCCTCTTTTCAGGCCCTCTCCGGCCATTCTCTCTCCTCCCTTTCTCCCAACTCTTCCCACCTCGCTGTATCTCTCTATCGGCTCTTGCAGCCCTTCTTCAGTCTCTTATCTCTCTCTCGCCTCTCTGTTCACCTGGCCCCCCCCCCCTCCCTCCCTTTCTCTGCTCTCTCTTCCTTCATCCCCTCTTCTCTCTCTTCCTTTCCATCATTTCAACACTGGCTCTTTGAAGCAGTGGGTCTGCCTTTGGATGCACTCGCCCGCTTTGACCGAGCAAAGAGACACATGGGCTTGCTGCTTCTGTTCAACCTCCATTGTAAGTCCCTTTGCTACTCACGAGCACGAGTCTCTCCACCCGTTTGCGTCTTGTTCTTGGTCGGAGGGTGGAGAGCCATCTCTGGCAGGGGCCACGGAGGCTTCGTCTCTGGTTTCATGGGGAATTTCAAACAAAGAAACTTGAACACCCGTGTTGAACCTGTGGCCCAGACGCTCTCCCGCACGCTGCTTTTGCTTCATCGGACAGCTTTCAAGCCCAATGTCATTCCCTTCTTCTAGCTCCGGCGCCCTTGAGCGCATGATGGCTGACCTTGCTCCCAGTGCCTTGACCTGTTTCGGGCAATACGACAACCATCTCATCTCCGACCGAGCCTCTTCACCGACGGAAAAGGGCTTGCGACAGCCTATCGACCGATCTCTGAAAAGGCACGAGGGGATCTGCACTCGGCTTCTGTTGGGAGTTGAAGCTGTGAATTGAATCGGTTGCAAAGACACTTCGCCCCTGAGCCCGGGACGCGGCCAAGTGGCTTGATAGCCACAACGGTGAGTAGCGCATGGCAAAGTAAAACACTGCCTCGGGCCCGTGACGCTGACTCTTACTCTCGAGCATTTAGTCTGAGCGCCATCAGAGTCTAGACTCGGTGACAGAGCCGTGGCCAACCTGCGAAGCCAGGCAAACCCCGTCGCATCTCGACCAGATTCACAGCCGCTCCGCTCCCGCGACGCACTGATTCATCGCCATTTAAGCATCGAGTTGCCACACGAGCAAGTACAAGAGAAAACACTGGGCAGCCTCAAGGTGAGGTGACATTTTTTCTTGGTCGTTCTGTCCGACTTTTGCCTTCTTCATGGCACATCTTATACGTGCGGACCGTGTGCCTTCCCAGACTACTACTACCTCTGCAAGACTCAACGGCCCGCCTGCCAAAAACCCGCGCGCTGGCCGTTTCTCGCCGTCATTCACACCATTTATTGTCATTCTTGCTCTCAACCGCATCTGGACGTCGCGATTTGCACATTGTCACTCTCTTCAGGACCAACCAGTGTGTCCATCAATCAAGTAACTTGACTTGGTTGCTTGAAGTTGGTTGATTACATAACAGTCAATCACGAGTAACGATCTCTCCGACCAAGCAAAAGTAAAGCTTTCTGCATTACTCGGGTTTACTCCGAGTTACCGGTACCTGACTAGCGTTGATTTCAGGCAATTTCGTGATACCCATGTCATGAAAGTGGACGAACCCCTTCCTCTCGCCGATTGAGCTTGGTGATTACAGTTACTTTCTTCGTGCCTGATTCATCAACATCCTGCAGAAACTGTTCAACGCTGAGGAAGCCAGCAATGCCCTCTCACTCAGCTTTCGATCCTTGCAATCATCTCGGGCACGTCACGCCTCCCAAGACGCCTTCCCAGTCGGTCCCCGACGAGCCAAGCATCTCCCATGAAAGGGACTTGCCAAAGGCATCGCAATGCGTTTTCCCTATATCTTGGGAGAAGATTCGTTACGACAGAAAACCGTTGGCCACCATACGATATCGTCAGCCTCACAAGCGCGCAATGAACTCGAAGGCGCAACCATCGATAATCTACAAACACGGTGCGCAACTCACGACAGACGGCGACAACAAGTACTGGCTCTGCAAATATTGCCATGTAAGCGGACGTCACGACACAGCGCTCTTTGCCAGCGAGTACGACGAGCATCATCTATCACCTTAGGCACCACCACAAACTTGCCGAGTTCGGTTACAAAGTGGCAGGGTCCGACCCCTTCAGCATCTCTCAAGGAGCCACCAAGGCCGCGTCGTACTTGGGGAGCCGACGCATGGTGTTCAATGACCTCCAGTTTCGAAGTCATTTTGCCGACTGGGTCATTGATCTTGATTTGACTTTCCGCCAAGCGACTCACCGACGAACAAATGAAATATTTGCATTGTGCCTGGAAGACATCGACAAAGTTTTGCCGAAAAGCCCGTCAGCGCTGAGCAGTTGGGTCAGCGAAAAATGGTTCGGTGACAACGGCAGGCGCGCCTGGCTGAAAGAACAGCTCCGCCTGTCCAAAAGCAAGATCCACGTCTCGACAGATGCTTGGACATCTGAAGAAGGTACCAACTATTTGGCTATAGTTTCTCACTTTCTAGACGCTGCATACAAGCTGCAAACGGCTTTGCTGGATTTGCCAGTTTTGAAGGGCCCCCACACTGGCGAGAATATCGCCAAAGTCCTTGCAGCGGTCATGGGGTCATACGAGATCGGTCAGAACGTTGGTTTCTTCATGATGGACAACGCAAGTAGTAACGACACTTGCATTCGAGAGCTGGCGAAGCGCTATCCTGTCATCAAGCCTCAGAGTCGCCTGCGCTGCGTCGGCCATATGCTCAACCTAATCGTCAAAGCCCTTCTCTTTGGGTAGGGTGTCGGCAAGTTGGAGAAACAGCTTTGCGGCGCGTCTGAAGTGGAGCGTTTTGAAATCTGGAGAAAGCATAGCTTCGTCGGTAAACTTCACAATTTCTGTGTTTGGGTAAACAGAAGTGACCAAAGGCGGGAGCAGCTGAAACGGTATATTTTGCAGGCTTACGAGGAAGGCAGCATTGAACTGCTCTACACTAGAGTCCTGGTCGACGGCGGAATCCGCTGGAACTCTGCATATGCAATGATTCAGAGGGCGGTCAAGCTCCGTCATGCGATTGATCTGTTCTTCCTCAACTATTGCTACGGTGGCGTAGGGTACGACATTTCGCAAGACGTACTAACCCCACAAGATTGGATTGACTTGCACCATTTTCTCGACATCTTGAAGCCTTTCAAAGATCTGACAAAACGCATGGAGGCCGAGCCAACAAAGCTGGCCTGGAAGGATCACATGGCTCCTTCATGAAACAATTGAATCATTCGATGTCCTCTTCAAAAAGCTCCAAGAGGCCGGAAGATTTGCCGATGACCATCCCGACGTGGTTTCAACGTATTATTCCCACGCAATCGATGCTGCTCGCATCAAGCTAGAAGAGTACTTCGGCCTTACCGATGCCACCCCAGCTTATCGGTGCGCTGTCGCATTGCATCCGGCGAATAAGTTTGCTTACTTCGAACTTGGTGGAGTCACAACAAGCAGTGGATCAGTGAGGCAAAGAGCGTGGTTCAAGAAGTTTTCGCAGAATACGAAGACGCATACATGGAAGCGGACGCTGCGGACCATGAGGAGGCTTCGTCGCTGGCCCTAGGAGAAGTCGTCGCTGATAAGGCTGGCGATGATCTCGTCGCCCTTGACCCACTCCAGGAAGCTCGCAAACGCCGACAGATGCTGGCTGAGCTTGCGGCGTCCGGCAAGGGAAGGAGGAAAAGAGCGAGACTAACTTCTGAGCTCGACGAGTTTATGGCTAGGAATAACAAGGCTGATTCGGAAGTCGAAGATCCCTTGCAATGGTGGATCTGTCATGCGGCAGACTACCCAGTTCTGTCGCAAATGGCTTTCGACTTGTTCACTTGTCCAGCAATGAGTGCTGAATGTGAGCGGGTTTTCTCTCAGACCAAAAGGTCATCACGGATGAGCGGAATCGCCTCAGCTCCAACACCGTGGCAGCTATCGAATGCCAAAAGCACCTACTTCGATCTGGCATGCTATCGTAGTCATGCTCGAGGAGCACTTTTTTTCCCCTCGTCCCAAGGTCACAGGCGGACAAGATATAGAGATCACTCAAGCAAATCGGCTCCCGGAGTCAAGTAATGTCAACCAACCAAGTAAAGCACAGCCATTTCTTCGAGTAAACCAAGTCGAGTAAACGGATCCTTCAACCAAGTCAAGTAAGGGTGTCATTTTCTGCTTTACTTGGTTGATGGACACACTGGGACCAACAGGCTCTTTTCTTTTTCTCTTTCTTTTTTGGCATACAATCCTAACCACCACTCCATTCACCATGGCCAAGAACAGGTCCAAAATCCAAGGCGCGTGCTAACAAGCCTGTCTCCGGGGCCGCAGCCGCAGACCCAAGCATCAAATCCACCTCGAGAGACTTGCCGGCGAAGAGGACCAAGTGCAGAAGGAAGCAAAAGCCCCCGGCACCCAACATGGCTCGCCGCAGCAACAAGTCCGGGCGCAATGCCGAGGCTGGCAAGTCGTCAACAATCACCAAGTACAACATGGAACTGTCCAAGCAGCGCCTCGAGGAAAAGGGCTTCCATCCTGCCGTCACGACCAAGTCTCACGACGAGCTCCTCAATCTCGGCGGAGCAATGATGCAAAGGCACCGGCATCGACCGACCCGGGACCAGTTCTTCAAGGGAGAGGGCGACACCAACAGAGCCGGCTTCGTCCAGCCCCGGCACCTCACCAGAGTCAGTACCTATGCTCCCACCCTGCTCAGCGAAGCGTCACTTACTCACATTCCTCGCAGGCATTGCTAGTTATCAATAAACATCTCGATGCCGGCCGATTCGACGACCAGGCGGCCGGCGCTGCCACGGAGAACACACTGGCCCGCCTCCTAAACACCGCCCACATTGGAGGCCTGGTTTCTGAATTCATCTTCGCCAACGGGTACAAGTCGGTTCATTCCGTTGCCCTCACATCAACTCAATCATGGGCTGCATTGGTTGCCGGCACCGTGAGTTGTCCCGACCCCCTCTGGCCGCCCCTCGAAGCAGAGCAACATTAACAAGCACGACAGAGAATCTGGGACTTCCTCGCTGGCAAGTTTTGCGCCGATGGCCCCGCCCTGACCTTTATCGCCGTCACACCCGAGTACACGGTGGGCGAATTCAAAGACGCCGAAACCAAGGATCTGCACGGGCTTGGGGCCGACAACTCCCAGTCGAGCTGGTTTGCCGAGGCAATGGCGGCGGAGACGGACATCTATGTCTCAATCAGTCAGCTGCATCACCAGCTCAGCAAAAGGTGCAGACACGGGCCTCAACTGGGCGCTCTGACCGAAGAGCTCGTCAAGTACACCCGGCAGTTGTCAGACGTCAAACGCATCCACGAGTCGAACCAGTTCAAGTCCAGTCCCCAATGTCAGCTCTTTGACCCCCCGGCCTACTTTGCTCTTACCCGACTGCGCCAAATGAGTATGCTTTCCCTCCACCCGACCGACCCTGGCCGCAGCTGACCAGTGGCTAACATGGAAGCAGTGAACCAGATCTATGAGAAGCGAGCCACCATCAGGGTGCTTCACTTTCAGAAGACACCTTATCTGGATCGGCGCATTCTCGCCGTCATTCTGCGCTCCTGCCACTATGTCGAGATGATTGGCATTTACGACTGCCCCCTGATTCACTTTGGCGATGTTTTATGCCTCCTGGATCTCATCCACGAGATCAATAGCGAAAGGCGAAAGAAGGACCTGCCTCTGATCAAGGCTTTCGATTTTTTCCCCAGATTCCACGGCGGCATGCCCTACCAAGATATCAGGGCCCAGACATATGGTCTGACCTGGGGCCCGGACAGCCTCGAAATTGTCCAGCGCGGCTTCTTCGGCATCATTCTGAAGGCTTTCATGAAGGCCGGAGCCATGCAATTGGATCTTCTCTTCACAAAGGGGCAGGCGTTCTGCGACTTCCTTTACAACGTACCCAACTACACGCTGGCCGTCGTCTCATTCCTGGACGCTCTTCACCGCTACGTGGACTTGCAGCGCCGCAGAAACCCCACTAAGAATGAGCTCAAGCAGACGGTTTACGACCTCCTCAAGCCGGTGCGCATCGGGCTCGAGGATGTCGAAAACGACTGGCCGCGCTGGTATACCGGCATTATGGGCAATCACCTTGTTTTCTGCTCTTCGTGCGGATACAAAATGCTCCAAGAGTTCTTCACGGCTCTTTCTCGAGTTGGGCGGCCGCTCACCCGAGTGTGTGCTGGTTGTCTGCTCCAGCGCCGATTGGATTTGGAGCCCGATCACCTCAAGGGGGAGAAGAAGCATGTCCTGGATTCGCTTTTCCCCAGACACGACGGATTACGGTTCAACAAAGACGCGTCGCTTGGCCAGGGGGCTCGAGGCCTGATTAGGCTGGAATCGACCGTGTCGAAGCGGCCCTCGGCCCCATTAGTTACCGTCAACGACGATGGAGAGGAATACCTGCCGCACTATCTGGAGCCTCTGCTACGAGACAACAAGATACACTTTGATTCTCTGCAGGGCCTTCCTGGCCTGGGAGAGCTGGTCGGAGACGGGGCGTTGGCTAAGAAGAAGTGGACCCAAGCGATGGACCGGTGCCATAAGCTGGACATGTACTCGAGACTGGTCCGGCGTGTTCGGGAGGAGAGCGGTGACCCCAAGGGCAACCGGGGGCCCAACCCGAGTGAAAGAAGAATCGACGGAGGCATGCCTGATCATGTCGACGAGCGCCAGCCTCCGAGACAGCAGGGAAACTCGGGTCAGCGTTTGAGCCACAGCTTCTCGAGCGTGGTGGGACTCGAAAAATATCTCTACGACAAGGGCTGGCTGTGAAGGGGAGGCATGAGTCGAGGGAAGGGGGCTGTGAAGGCCGATGGACGAAAGAAGCTGTGAAGTCTGCAGGGATGGGATGAGGCCCATGAGGGCATGGAATCATGGATAAAGCTTTGGCAGTGGGTGCGAGCAGGGCTGCTGGATGAACTTGGAGGAGACGAAGCATGCTGCGAAGCGATGGACCGACAAAAATTGGCGCTGCGTTGGCAAGTTGGAGAGAACTGCCAGTAAAACCCCTAGGAAACTCACAATCTGAATTTGAAAGCGGCAGTGCTGTGGAGGAGGTGCATTTTCAACGTGATGAATACGCGCTGCGACGTTGTAAAGGTTAGGAGGGTATCACGTGACGTCGAGGTGATTTCAGGCCCAAAGTCGACTGGTTCCAACACCAAGGACCTCGATCCCCCAGCCAAACCCGACAACCGCCCGCGATGGCCTCGTTATTACGCGCATTTTCGCTACCTGCGCGAGCCTTGGGACACGGAGGGGCTGCCCTCCGGCTCTGGTCAACAACAACAAGCTGGACGCCGTCGTTGATGGCGGGCGCGACGGGCTGGCTGGCTCCGGTTGCGAGGACGGTTGGCGGGGGAGTGATGCAGCAGACGCGGGGAATGAAGGTGCACAGCTCGGTCAAGAAGAGGTGTGAACACTGCAAGGTCAGTTTGCGCCTGGACGTCCCCTTTTACCGAAGGGGGCGCATACCTTTCCCTTGACGAGCACTTACCTAGAGAGAGATTGCTGACTGGAGCGCACAGGTTGTCCGGCGGAAAGCGGGCAAGCGACACAACGGCTACCTGTATATTATCTGCAAAGCGAACCCCAGGCACAAGCAGCGGCAGTCGTGAGTAGCCCCGACGGCGAGCAAGACGACATGTCCACAGACCGCCCGTTCACACCTGGATCACCCACTGTATACTACCGTCACGCGGCGGGCGATGGGCACGAAGCAGATACGTGGAGGGCGGAAGCGACATGAGCATGGCATCACGCCTAGACAGGAGCACGGCGACGGCGTAAAGATGCGATCGAATGGATGAGGAAGAGGCGCAGGAAAAGGGATCACGGAATGTACCACTGCGAGAGCTACATGCCCCCTATATACCTCTCCATGCTCTCCCACTGCGTCTTCCCCGTGGACAAGAGGTATCGAATGTGAGACTTTGCACGAGGTCAACGAATCTTGTCGACGCTTCGAGAGATGGAATGGAAAGGCGGGGGGGGGGAGGTGACTGACGAGGTCCTTTACGTGTCGATGGCGCTCAAACTCGTCGCGGACGAGCTTGCGGGTTTCGGCCTTTGTGGGCGCATGGGCAATACGGGTAGTGCCTCGTAGGATGGCGCGGTAGAAGGCGATGACCCTGGTGCGCTGTAGAAACTGCCCCTTGTGTTAGTGCTGTGGGGAGAGGGGGCGGCGCGTGAGGTGAGTGGCGCGGTACGTGATCGAGGCTCAAGGCGCCTTGGAGACGGCGGCGGGTGGTGGTGGCATGGCCACGGGCGAGGATGCGCGAGAGGCGCAGCCGTCCAGGGGTCATATGAAGTGCTTCGTCGTTGGGGGAGCTTGTTGTCGTTCCCACGAACAGGCCGATGGAACAGGCCGGTGGTGTGGACGGCCGATGTGCAAGGGGGGAGGACTGGCGAGATGGGTTCGGCCCAACTTCGGATCTGGAGTGTCCGTGTGCAGGGCCGGTACTTTGTACAACTCAGTGCCATAGAATTCAAGACGCGTAGCAAGCATATCGGAGCCCGTCGCCTGCATCACTACTCGCTGGGTCTCGAGGCAACACCCCCCCCCCCCGTGGTATCCTTGGAGAGACTCGGGGCGGCGTTGCGAGGGAGGGCTGGCTGGGCGAGCATGGCCACCACCCAGCCGTCGGCAAATGTACCTGCGGGCAAGGCAGCATCTGGCCGCCAAGCCAAGGCAGAGAGCGCCATTGAGCGAGCCAACACGATGAGCAACGCGGCCTTTGTCGAGGAGCTTATACGACCGAGGTGAACCGCCACGCCCCGCCCTCTCGCCCCTCCCTGCCACACGCCGCATGGTGAAGACACGAGAGAGAGAGAGAGAGGGAGAGAGAGAGAGAGAGACTTCAAGGCTAAAGAACGCGGGCTAACGTTCATCATTCAGCCAGGACAGCAGCTGGCCCGAATGGACCCATCCGCGGACCGGGCTGCGGTACGGGCTGCGGGTGCTGCGGGCCGGGGATCTCAGCGGCGGGCAGATGGAGGCGTGCTTTGGGCTGGTGCAGGCGACGAGCGGCGACGACTACCGGGCGTCGGCGGGCGGGTGGCGCCCGGCGGCCAAGAGGAGGGAGATGGCGTCGCCGGAGCTGCGGTACGTGCTGGTGGTGCAGCCGGGGGCGGGGGGCCGCGAGGGCGACGGAAGGGTGGCGGGCTTCACGTCCATGATGGCGACGTTTGAGGGCGGCGAGCCGGTGGTCTACTGCTACGAGATTCACCTCGAGCCGGCTCTGCAGGGGTGGGTGTTTTCCCTCTCCGGTTTCCCTCTCCCCTCGGGCCATCCGTCTCTCTCTCTTTCTCTCTCTCCCCCTCTCTCCATCCCACCCACTGACCATCAACGACAACAGCACGGGCCTGGGCAGGCTGCTCATGGGCCACGTGGCGCGGGCGGCGTCGCGCATCGAGACGGTGGGCAAGACGATGCTGACGTGCTTTGCGGCCAACGGGCGGGCGCGGCGCTTCTACCAAGGGCTGGGCTACGGCGTCGACGAGACGTCGCCGCGAGAGCGGAGGCTGCGGGGCGGACGGGTCGTGGTGCCCGACTATGTGATTTTGAGCCGGCCGACGACGACGTGTTTGTGAATGGGTGTGTGAGCTGGGTGGGAATGCTGGTGGGATCGATTGGCCTCGGCTGATGATGGCACGCCTTGGCGGCATGATAACTCATCCATGGCGGATGGAAAAACGCGGCCCCCGTCAGCCCCGAAGCCCCGCCCGTCTGCCGCCCAGGCCCGCAAGGCATACACGCGGTTTCCCTTTGGCAGGTCCGGCAACAAGCAGCACTTCCGCTTCTTCTTCTTTCCCGTCTCTGCCCCTTCTCGGGCCCTTGCTGCCCGCATACAGCCCTGCAGATATGCACATGCAGATATGCACATGCAGGCACGCGAGCTATTCTCGTCGCCCCCCGCGCTGAGAATTGCAGCCGCAACCTCGCCTAACCGTCCTCCCGGCTCACCCACCACCACCACCACCACCACCATCCCAGGGGCGGTGGCTGCTTACGTACAAACAGTAATAAGACGCAGACGAGGCAAGGATTCCTCGTCGACGACGCGTCGCCGGGTCCTCCTGCGGGACCGCCCCCCCTGTCCGCGTCCCCACCCCATTGGGTGCCTCGTGTGGAGTTTCTCTCTTCTGGCGTCGCCCAGAGTCACCAACCGCCTGATTGTACATGGAAAATTAGGCTGCCGTTACGAACAAGTCCGGAGCTGAGTCGCCAAGGGAAAAAATGTCTTGTCCTGCGAGCCGTGCGTGCCATGTGGGGGCCAAGGCTCGAAACTGCACAATAATTAACCATTGCCCCCACCTCCCCTTGCTCTTTCGCTCTCTTCCCTTTGGAGGCCCTGTGATTTTCGCGGCTCTTGCTTCGCGGCATTCACACACACACACACACTCTCTCTGCGTCTCTCGCTCTGTCTCGCTCTCTTCTCAATCGCTCTCTATACATCTCTCGCGAGTGTTTCCTCATTCCTCAATCAAGACTCATCTCAGGCCCCGTCCATTGCCGTGACTCCATCTACAGCCACATCGACATCTCAGCCTCATCCTCATCCTCATCTTTAACCTCGACTTCAACCTCCTCGTCACCACCATAATGGAGCATCAACAACATCAACCCCAGCCTCAACCCCAGAATCCGGGCCAAGACACCCCGAAACAAGAATGGCAGAGCAACCTCTTCAACTGCGCGCCCTGCGGCACCTGCCTTCTCAGCACCTGCCTCCCTTGCATCCGTATGTTCACCCTCCGTCACCACCCGGCGCATTGACTCGTTCCCCTCCCTCTTTCTCCAGTTGCCCATTTGCTGACCGCACGACACAACAGTCATCGGACGCACGTCGGGCCGCATGAGGGATCCTTCCATGGAGACCTACGAAGACCTCAACAGCGAGTGCATGATCTTCAGCGCCATCCACTGTCTTACCGGTTTCGGCTGGGTGTACGCTCCCCTCCTCTCTCTCTCCCCTCTCTTTTGCATGCCTCTTCCGTTTCTTCTTCATGCCCTCTTCCGTCAGCTCCTAAGCAGCGCAGACCCCTCGCTGACCGGGCGAGATTCACAGCTACGCCATGATGAAGCGCGGCGAGATCCGCGACGAGTACGGCATCGAGGGCAGCGACTGCTCCGACTGCTGCGCTAGTTATTGTTGTTTATGCTGCGTTTTGATTCAAAGTGACAAGGAAGTCAAGTTGAGGACGGCCGGTCAGAGGCCCATCATGCAGGGCTACCAGAGTCAAAAGGAGGGCATGCAGATGCCGGCCCCTGCCGGCCAGCAGCAGCAGCAGCAGCCCATGATGAAGCCTGAGCACCAGCCTGAGCTCCAGCAGCAGCAGCCTCAGTTCCACCAGCCCATGCAGCAGCAGCCCATGCAACACCCGGGCATCTAACGACGAGCCACGACTCGGGCCCTTGCCCCCATCACTTCCTCTTGGTTCACTTGGCTTAGACACCATGCATGCCACGACGCGGGCAACCCCTGACAACCAGGATAGATCTTGACTTTGTATCATTTTTTCTCATATATCCCTTTCAATGAAACCCCATGATAATGTCTCAATACGCTTCCCCTGTCCCGAAACTCCAATTCGCAAATTCAAGCGACCGTGCTAGACTTGTAGATGACTCCCTTTTTTTGTGTTGCACCCCTCTGACCTCCCAAGGCCAATGCAGGTTGGCTTCCAAACAATCACGCATACAGTTTCTTCTCGTATGCCTCCATGTTGACGTTGCCCTCGACCTGAGCGCTTGAGGTGCGGAGCTCGAAGCGTACCGTGCCGTCGGCAGTGCGTTCGTGCAGCTCCGCCAGGCTCTTCATGCCGCAGTCCTGCATCGAGTGCTTGAGGCCGGCAGCCAGGTACGGCACAAACTTACCGACCGAGCCCCGGTGCGCCACGGCTCCCGACACCCCCTGGGCCACCAGGACGCTGTCGCCCTCGGAAAAGTACCGGGCCGTGCCGGCATTGCTCTTTTGGCTGTCCTTGCCGCCGCCGCCAGCCTTCTTGTCTTGCATGGCGTCGATGCTGCCCATGCCCCGGTAGGCCTTGACCAGCTTGCCTTCGCGGGAGACAAACGACGTGCCTGGGGACTCGGTGGTGCCAGCTAGGAGACCGCCCATCATGACGGTAGAGGCGCCCAGGGAAAGACCCTTGACGATGTGACCAACGTTTTGCACGCCGCCATCGGCGATACAGGGAACACCAAACCGGGCAGCAAAGTGGCTGACGGAATAGACGGCAGCGGCCTGGGGACGACCGACGGCCATGACCTCTTGCGTGATGCAGGCGGAGCCACTCCCCATGCCAATCCGGATCCCATCGACGCCGGCCGCGATGAGAGACGCGGCCTGCTCACGGGTCACGACGTTGCCGCCGATGACGTCGATCTTGGGGAACTCGGCCTTGATCCACTTGATCATGTCGATCTGGTAGAGGCTGTTGCCTTGTGAGCTGTCGAGGATGACAATGTCGAGGCCGGCATCGACGAGCTTCCTGAGACGGTCCTTGTCCTCGGGCCGCGTGCCGATGGCAGCGGCGCAGATGAGCTGCTTGCTGTCGGGCAGCTTGGATGCCAGGGGAAAGTGCTGGTTCTTGGTCAAATCGGACCGGGAGATCATGGAGACGAGGTTGTGGTCCTTGTCGACGATGGGCAGCTTGCCCTTCTTGGACTTGGCAAGGATCTTGTTGGCCTCGAGAAGGGTGACACCGTCGGGGGCAGTGGTGAGGTCTGTCACCATGACGGTGGAGACTGGGAGGTCGAGGTCGTCCTCGAACTGAATGTCTCGGTTGGTGACGATGCCCAGCAGCTTGGAGCCGAGCCTGCCGTTTTCTTACAGTCCTCTGTCAGCACTTGAGACGATACAGGGGGGAGATGAGGTGAATCTGGGAAGAACATTGTCATAGTAAAAGGTGTCCACATGAAGAAAAGTCTTCTATACGGCGGAACGAAAGTTATAAAATTAAGGGTGATAATCATGCAATGCAATAGACGGTAAGAGGGGGGACAGGTACTGACCGGTGACGGGAAAGCCGCCAAAGCCCCATTTCTCCTTGAGGGCCTTGGCCTCGCCGACGGTCAGGTTACGGTCGATGACGACGGGGTCGAGGATGAAGCCGTTCTCGTAGCGCTTGACCATGCGGACCATGCCGGCCTGGGCCTCGGGAGAGCAGTTGTGGTGGATGACGCCGAGGCCTCCCTGCAGAGCCATGTGGATGGCCATCTCGTGCTCCGTCACCGTGTCCATGGGAGACGAGACAAAGGGCGTCTTGAGGGTGATGCGCTTGGTGATGGGGGAGTCGAGCGCCACCTCGGAGGCGGGGAAGCCGATGTAGCCCGGCATGAGCAGGAAGTCGTTGTAGGTGAGGCCTCCATGCTTGGTCGTGTCCATGAGCTGGTGAATGTCGAGCCCATCGGCCGTCTTGTACTCGGCCAGCGTCTCAAGCGCCTTGCTGTGGTCGAGCAGCTTGGCGCCTGAGCGGACGGTAGCGGCGGCCATTGTGAAGGTGAAGGAGGAGGGAGGGGTGGTTCCGAGGTCGAAGACGTGCTGGAGAAGCCGATGAGGATTGTCTTGAGTGATCGACTTGTCGGGCTTGGATCACACGCTTCTTCCCGTAGAAGCAGAAGAAGAAGAAGAAAGGGGGGAAGAAAAGAGGATTTTTTTTTCTACCGCGCAGGACGGACCCTTGGCGGGGGACTGAATCGCACGAGTTTGCGCTAGTGGCGGGGCACTCTGCAAGTCAAAAACTAGGGCACCTCCTCAGTGGTGCTTCCACTGTTGCTTTTGACGAGTCACCTACAGCAGCACAAGGGTGATGAGTCGAAAAAAGGATGGCATCACGGTCGCCAACTCGCCATAGAGACGGCAACATATTGCGGGCAGCGGCCTGGCATTTTTTCTTTTCGTGGGAAGACCGCGTCGTCCGTCTCTCGACCGAACGGATACTCCGCGCACTGGTGCCGCCGAGCTGATTCAACCAACCAACCGATCATGATTGCACAGTGGGATGGTTGAAAGATGCAAGCCATGGCAAAGACGTGTCCGGTCATTAATAAAGTGTTATGCTTATTCCTCGACCGCATCTCGTCAAGAATCAAAGTAAACGCTGGCCTCCACCTCATTGCCAGAATCGCTTCCCAGCTCCATCTCCTTCCATGCCGACTCAATGTCCACCTCAAAGACACAACCATCGTCTCTTGACACCCGAATCAAGTGTCCCGGCACCGGCTGGCCCCCGATGATTGCCTTCAAGGCCTGCCCAACCGGAGTCGCCGCTGACGCTGAGATGTAGACGCCTAGCATTGTTGTCAGTGACCGCCCTTCCAAGCATCGTCCTCAACACCTACCGAGAATCCCAAGGGCTTTAAGTCGTATGTTCAGTGACACGGTTCCTCTCTCATCCTGATGGATGCTGCTAGCCATCACCCCTGCGCATCCCGTCATTTTCCCCACCAATCCGAGGTTAGAAATCCATCCGCCCTGGTACTTCTTGCCGTTGAAAGGAGTCAAGGGAAAGGCGCATAGTATCTCGTAGCCTCGTGTGTCGAGCGACAAGCTCAGCAGTGAGTCCAGCTGCCCAACCCTCGTGGGCGTCGACACTTTGCCTGTTGTGTGAGCACGGATCACATAGTCGACAGACGGTGCTGTTCCTGGAAAGCACGCAAGGGGTATCAGCTCCGCCAGCGGTTGCGCAGAGACATTGAAGATGCCCAAGATCCCGGTCCTGAAACCCGATGTTGCTGCATAAACTCATTAACACTTGCTGTTCAGACCGTTTGTAGTCTCGACTCACCGTGATGACTCCCGACTTTGAGGAGTAAATCATCGTCGTATCCGGCATAGGGATGGATGGACCTTCCCAGGGCGCTTGGCCTAAATATGATAGTCTTGCCCTTTGGCGTGACGCCTGTCATCTGCCCGATTAGGCCCATGTCGTGCTCCCCCGGAACGTCGGTCACGTAAATCGGACCACCGCTGACGCATCTCGCCGCAGCATGAAACCCCGAGTAGTCGTGCACCGTCTGAAACATATCCCAATCAGGCAGCACATTGAGAAACTGCGTCAAGATGCTGTTGTGCGCGTTCGTCCACACGTGCCACGGGTGAGACGCAGGGATCTCAGGGAAGAAATCATCCGAGTTACGCACCACCAACGGCGGTCGATTCTGCAGCATTTGAGAGTGAAAGAGGGCCTGCGGTATTTGCGACATGCACGAAATGGCCTTGACGCCAAAGTGTCGAAACGAGGCCGACGACCATACGTCCAAGTACTTATCGATGAGCTCTCGCCGGACAGACGCGTTGACCCAGGTATCGATGACAAACTGGGCATCAGTCTTGACCCCGTCGATGCCTGCTTCAGTCAGGAACCGATAGAAGTCGCCGTAGAATCTCTCCACGTCTTCCTTGGCAACCACCGTTCTTGGACCGCCGAGGGGGAGATTCCGGCGTCTAGAAACCTCGCAGACTGCTTCGACGGTTTTATATGTCTGAGCAATCTTACCCTCGGGGGAGATGCCGCCCCAGTAGCCCAGGAGAGCATGCCAGACGGCAATGTGCTGAATGTCAGGATATCGCTGGCGGATCCGCGAGACCAGTCCCTTCAAGCCGTTGGGGAATGCCTTCCGTTCAGCCTCAAACTCCAACCAGGCGTACTGGAACTGGCTTTCACCTTTGTAATCGATGGATTGCCAGTTGTCGTCGATAATGAGGCTTGTGATGTTGATCTCAGACTCGACCAGCTTTTGCACTGCATGCAACACTTTCTCTTCCGTGAGCTTCTGCCCGAGGGCATTCCAGGTACCTTGACGGCGTCAGTCAGACTCAGAGCCATAGACGGGCAAGGCAGGCAAACAGTATCCAAGCCCATCAAACCAGTTCTGCTGCCATTCCAAGTTGGCATCCTTTTTTTGCCATTCCGACTCTTCGTAGACTTCTTCGGTCGCCGTTCTCGCACGAGTGGCAAGGTCCCGGGCGTGGTGCATCACCGCCGCAACGGCCTGCTCAAAGTCGTGGCCTTGCGATACCAGTATGATTGCCTTGCCTTTTGTGGTTTCATCGTTTCGGGCCTAGCAGAATAAGTATTCGCATCCACCAACATGAATTGCAGTCGTACATGTACTGAGACGCCGCCTGTATCGGTATTGCGGAAGGTTGTCAACGCACTACCGAGCTCACTGAAAGCAAGAAACACGAGACTTTCTCCCTTGGAGCTCAGGAAAGAGCACAGGATGGCGTCTTTGTCAGGGGCGAAGTGGGTTTTGCCCTGCCGAGGAGCGAGCCAGGGAGACCAGACACGTACGAGCGCAAACCATCTATTTGGCATCAGTTGTACAGAGCTGGCACACATTTCAAACCCTTGGCGAGTTATGACATGACGCATAAGCAATGGTTGTCCATGGGAAGGAGAGGAAGAGGTCAATGGACACGAGATTGAAAGGGTCGAAAGGGAAAGTGAGAGATACGAGAGGACCAGAGAACGTCGCTGGCTAGCAGGCCTCTGTGAGCTTACCTCAAATATGAGCCCCAAGGTGTACCGATTGCAGTGTCTGCAAATGCAGATTCTTCGCTCGTTGCTGGTGGAATTGCAACCTCTAGAGACCAGAGTTGGGTTAGGGGCGAGTGGCTTGCATGCGATGATACCTTCCAGTCGTCGTTGAGATCCGGAATCAAACTTGGAAGAACCTCTGATGTTGAGGAAGAAGAAGTAGCCACAACTAGGCCGTCGTTCAAGCCACTTTCATCTCGGATCCATCGCCAAGAGTCATCCTTTCCGTTGCGGAACTTGAAGGTGAATTGCATGGACGTCGCGATACAAAGGGAACAGGTGAAATAGAGCCTTGTTCTTGAACCGGGCAAGGTTTGAAGGGCTTGAGGCTCTGGTCCAGCATTGATAGGCGCAAGGACGGTTTCTGTCCACTCGGCTTCGTCCAAGGAGAGCCACAAGGCGACCTCCCACCCGTCTTCTTTTCGGGGTTGCGCGACTTCCAACACGGCCACGAAGGTCGTCTCGCCAGGTCCGACTGGGGTCACTTGGCCCAGTGGAGGGTGACTTTGAAGCTGCAGCTTCATCTGTCCGGACACAGAGGCTGGGGCCGGCTTCTGCTGGGACATGTATATCTGCTTAAATTCTTTTGCAAAATCATACTTGGCACTGTTGGCAGTCGACATGGCTGACTCTTGGTGGTCGGTTTGCCTGTGTCGCCCGGCTAAGCGCGCGAGCTTACTCTCCAAAACGAGAAGATGGGAAATTTCAGAGAAACTTGGTATTGAGCTGTTTCATGGAGAAGCACGACGAATGGCCGCAGAGAGCCATGCCGTTGTAGTTGCGTCTTTGAATGCATGCTTGTGGTGGGCTGGTGGCGCAAAGGACGGAGGTCGTGGCGTTAGTAATCAAAGCCCCTCATTGGCCACAGCCCTCGGGGTACTTTGTAGCAAGTACAGTCGCGGAGACGGCCGGAACGGCAAAAAGTCGACACCTGGGACTTCAGGCCACCAAGACCCCCGTAAAGCTTCTAGCCGAGCGTGCTCCAAACATTTCCACCAAACCACGCAACCATCGCCCCCCAGACTCTCCCCATGGCGTCCCGCAGGCTAGCTTTGAACCTCTCGCAGGGCCTACGTGCCCGTGCTGGTCTGTCGGCCGCCTCTGCCTTGAGAAGAGGCTTCGCGACTCCCTCTTCTGTCGGCAAGACTCAGACCACGACGCTCAAGAACGGATTGACCGTGAGCACCATCTCCGGCCGCCCAATTGCCTCGGCCAGCACCGCGCCATTGCTCCTCTGACACGTTAGCTTTAGGTCGCGACCGAGCATTCACCATGGGCGCAGACATCAACAGTTGGCATGTGGATCGATGCCGGCTCGAGGGCCGAGACCGACGAGACGAACGGAACCGCGCATTTCCTTGAGCACCTAGCCTTCAAGGTATTACCCGTCCTCCCTTTCTCCGAGAATCGGGCATGGACTGTGATTCTAATAGTTGGATGAACAGGGCACCGCAAAGCGATCGCAGCACCAACTCGAGCTGGAGATTGAGAACATGGGCGGCCACCTCAACGCCTACACGTCGGTCAGTGTGCTGCGGAGAAGTCTTGGAGATCCTCGCTTACCATTTCACAGCGCGAAAACACCGTCTACTTTGCCAAGGCCTTCAACTCCGATGTTCCCCAGTGCGTCGATATCCTGTCCGACATTCTCCAGAACTCGAAGCTCGAGGAGTCGGCCATCGAGCGAGAGCGCGACGTGATCCTGCGCGAGTCTGAGGAGGTCGAGAAGCAGCTCGACGAGGTCGTTTTTGACCATCTTCACGCCACTGCTTTCCAACATCAGCCTCTGGGCCGCACCATCCTGGGTCCCCGCCAAAACATCCGCGACATCACCCGGACGGAGCTGGTCAGCTACATCAAGAACAACTACACGGCCGACCGCATGGTTCTCGTCGGCGCCGGCGGCATTCCCCACGAAAAGCTCGTTGAGCTGGCCGAGAAGCACTTCGCCGGCCTCCCGGGCAAAGGCCCCGAGAACCACGCCTACCAGCTGTCCAAGCAAAAGGCCGACTTTATCGGCTCCGACGTTCGAGTACGCGACGACACCATGGGCATCGCCAACGTTGCTTTGGCAGTCGAAGGCGTCAGCTGGAGCTCGGACGACTACTTCACGGCTCTGGTCACCCAGGCCATTGTCGGCAACTACGACAAGGCCATGGGTAATGCCCCTCACCAGGGCAGCAAGCTCAGTGGCTTCGTCCACAAGCACGAGCTGGCCAACAGCTTCATGAGCTTCAACACCAGCTACAGTGACACCGGGTATGCTTGGACGTGATTGGTGTCGTGCTCGACATGTTTGCTAACAGACCCCGTAGACTGTGGGGCATTTACCTGGTCACCGACAAGCTCACGAAGCTGGATGACCTAGTCCACTTCGCCATCCGCGAGTGGATGCGACTCTGCACCAACGTCAGCGAGGCTGAGGTGGAGCGCGCCAAGGCCCAGCTCAAGGCTTCCCTCCTCCTATCTCTTGACGGCACGACGGCCATCGCCGAGGACATTGGTCGTCAGCTCATCACGACGGGCCGTCGCATGATGCCTGGGGAGATTGAGCGGAAGGTGGATGCCATTACGGAAAAGGACGTCATGGACTTTGCCAACCGGAAGCTCTGGGACAAGGACATTGCCATCAGCGCCGTGGGAGGCATCGAGGCGCTGTTTGACTACCAGAGGCTGAGGAACACTATGAAGCCCAAATTTTGAGGTAGAGAGCGGGTTGACTGAAATGCGAAGACGAGACTCGGGTATAGAGTGTACGAGATATCGTTGACAGGCCTAGTGTACCATATAGTAGCTCCTCTTGTCCAAGCTAGGCACCGGGCAACTCGTGGGAAGCGATTTATTTTGTATGGGGCAGACCATGCTGGCGAGCTGAACTCATCTCTGACGAAGGATTTGCCAATAGCAGTTCAGCTCGAGACGCGAAGGCGCGCTCTGTGCAGTCACATTGCCATTCTATCTCGTGGTATTTTGCCGCCCTGCCTGCCCCCTTGGGGCCCGTTCAACGCCGAAAACGCCAGACCTTTGTCAGCTCCTACCGCCCACGTTTTGTCCAAGACGCGCCAGACCAGGGATGGGGACCGATACCTAGCCGTCCTCGGCCATCTCCTCATCTACGTCGTCGCCAAAGACGTCCTCCACCGTCCCTCCCTCGACACCGTCGCCGCCCACATCCTCTGGCTCAGGCCCCTGGATGCCCTCCATTGCATCTCCGCCCTGTTGCTGACCATCATCGTCGTCGTCATCGTCCATGTCATCGCCTTGATCGCCCTCCCACATTTCCTTCAAGCCCCAGCTCGTGCCGCTCAGCACGAAGCGCTCGCTGGGTAGCCGCACACCCCACTCGTTGGGGACAATCCTGGGCAGCGTGACCTTGTTCCGCTCGCGGGCCAGCTCCTGCATGTACTCCTTGCTGATTCCGCCGCCGGAGCTGCCGCCGCGGAACTGGTACGACAGGCGCGCGCTGATGGCAAGCTTGACGGCGTTGGCGGTGATGGCAGCCTCGCCGGGGGCCGTCGCGATGGCGCCCGACGAGGCGGCGGGCTTCGAGCCGGCCTGCGTGACGTGGGGGTCGCCGGAAAGGTGCAGCGCGTCGCTGAGAATGGACGAGGTGTGGCGGTAGGCGAAGTCGAGGAGGAGGAGGGGGACGCGCTGTTCGTAGGCGGTGACGCCCTGCGAGGTGAGGAGGAGCTCGACGAGGCGGGCGTCGCGGGGCCGGGGGTCCGAGGCAGTCGTCGGCTGGGGGGCTGGTTGGGCGGCTGTTGCTGGGGCGGGCTGACTTGCAGTCGTGGTCTGGGTGTTTGGGACCGTCTGGGAGGCATTTGCTGAGGAAGCGCCGTTTGTCTGCGGCTGGCTTGAAGCCATGCCGGGCCAGGTCGAGCTGCGCGCGCTGCCCTGCCCTGCCTTGAAGCAACGAGGGAGCCAACCACGGTTGAGGACTCCTCGGCTCGGGGGTGGGCGCGTCGTTGAAGCCGAGCTGGGGTGGGCGATGGCGATTGGGATGCACTCGCCGATGCGGATGCGGTCCAGAGATGGCCAAAGTAATTACGTACTGTTCGCGTCGTTCACCAGGTACGGAGTACAGTACCGCAGACTGTCGAGAGCGGGACGCCTGCGGCTACGGCAAATTGTTAGTCCGAGGGGGAAGCGCCGGCCGCACAGGCCACAGCTTAAATCCCAAGGGACGGCCAATCGGGCTCGTCTGAAATGGTGAGGTCGCCGTTTCTTACTGTACCGTGCAGAGGGGGAGGAGGGGCAAAGGAAAAGACCGGCCGAGGCCACGGCAAATGCTGACATGATGACATCTGCCCCCCACCGTGGCCGTCAGCTCTCTTGTGCCCTCAGTGTTTTGAGTCACTCGAGCGCTTCCCTCTTTTAATTGATTGTCCAGTTCTGCGACGCTTTGCTTTATTCTAGTCACACGTCTTTTGCTTTGCTTGACACGCCAAGCACCAAAAAAATGGAAACCGAACTCCCCCTGCCGTTCCTGGTCAGTGTCGCCATCCCGCCGGGCCTTGCCAGTCTAGATGGCCTGAGCCGTGAAGAAGTGTCAGTGCTCGGCAACCCGTTCCTCGAAGCAACGCCCAACGTCCAGGACAAGCTCGCCCGCTTCTTCAACCGCCACAACTACGAGTTCCACGCCCACGTGGATGCCACGAGCCTCGACTCCTCAGACGACGTCGTTGCGCTGCTGGACCGAGGAGCGCGCAGGGTCTTTGTGGCACCTCAGGCCCTGTCGCAGTATGCCGACTTCGGCGCCCGCGTCCTCCCCGTCGTCTCCAGGCCTGATCTGTCTGCCGCCTCCAAGGATGGCCTGCTGATCAAGGACTTCGATGCTCACGCGGCCGACTTGGACACGTTTGTCCAGCAGGCTCAGAGCGCCAAGATCAAGAACTTGTATCTCAAGCCCGTGGCGCGGGCCGACCCGGCAAGCTTCATCGCGGTTGCGCGCAAGTGCAACGCCATTCCCGTCTTGCCCTCCACGGCCCTCACGACGGAAAAGACGGATGCTACGAAATTGCCTCTGTCCAAGGTCATTGCAACCTTCTGGACGTCTGACCGCCCAGATGGCCTCGTCCCCACTGTCGTCACAGATGAATCGGGCGTTGCCCTCGGCCTCGCCTACTCGAGCCAAGAGAGCCTTCTCGAGGCTCTCAAAACTCAAAAGGGCATCTACCAGAGCAGGAAGAGAGGCCTGTGGATCAAGGGGGCCACCTCGGGCGACACCCAGGAGCTCGTTCGCCTGTCTCTGGATTGCGACAGCGACACTCTCAGGTTCGTCGTCAAGCAAAAGGGCCGTTTCTGCCACCTCGAGCAGTTTGGCTGCTTTGGGGACCTGAGGGGCATCCCAGCCCTGGAGCAGACCCTCCAGTCGAGAAAGCTGTCGGCTCCACAGGGCTCATACACGGCACGGCTCTTCTCCGATGAGAAGCTGCTGCGGGCCAAGATCATGGAGGAGGCCGAGGAGCTCTGCAACGCCAACTCTCCCCAGGACGTTGCTTTCGAGGCCGCCGATTTAATCTACTTTGCCTTGACCAAGGCCGTTGGTGCCGGCGTGAGCTTGGCCGACATCGAAGCCAACCTGGACGCCAAGCATCTCAAGGTGACGAGGAGAACGGGCAACGCCAAGGGCAAATGGGCTGAGAAGGAGGGCATCCAAACCGCCCCAGCCGCCCCAGCCAAGCCCCAGCAGGCCGAAAAGGCCCAAGACGGACGCATCGTCATGCAGAGGATCGACTCGACAAAGGCCACCGAGGCCGAACTCTTGGAGAAACTGAAACGCCCATCGCAAAAGTCGCCTGAGGCCATCCTCAAGATCATCTCCCCCATCATCGAGGACGTGCGCAAGGGCGGAGACAAGGCTGTGCTGTCCTACACTCACAAGTTTGAAAAGGCAACGTCGCTGACGACGCCCGTCATCAGAGCGCCGTTCCCCAAGGAGCTGATGCAGCTGGACCCCGAGACCATCAAGGCCATTGACACGTCGTTTGACAACATTGAAAAGTTCCACTCGGCGCAAAAGGAAGACAAGCCGCTCTCGGTCGAGACGATGCCCGGCGTCGTCTGCGGCCGCTTTTCCCGGCCCATTGAGAGGGTGGGCCTGTACATCCCCGGCGGCACGGCGGTCCTGCCCAGCTCGGCCCTGATGCTGGGCGTGCCCGCCATGGTCGCCGGGTGCAAGAAGATCGTGCTCGCGTCGCCGCCCCGGGCAGACGGCAGCATCACGCCCGAGATTGTCTACGTGGCCCACAAGGTCGGCGCCGAGAGCATCGTGCTCGCGGGCGGGGCGCAGGCCGTGGCGGCCATGGCCTACGGCACCGAGAGCGTCAGCAAGGTGGACAAGATCCTCGGGCCCGGCAACCAGTTCGTGACGGCGGCCAAGATGCACGTGAGCAACGACACCAATGCCGGCGTCAGCATCGACATGCCCGCCGGCCCCTCCGAGGTCCTCGTCATCGCCGACAGGGACGCCAACCCGGCCTTTGTCGCCTCGGACCTGCTGTCCCAGGCGGAGCACGGCGTCGACAGCCAGGTCATCCTCATCGCCATCGACCTCGACGATGAGCAGCTCCGCGCCATCGACGACGAGGTGCACAGCCAGGCCACGGCGCTGCCGAGGGTCGACATTGTGCGCGGCTCCATCGCCCACTCCGTCACCGTCCTCGTCAAGACGATCGACGAGGCCATGCGCATCAGTAACGAGTATGCCCCCGAGCACCTCATCCTGCAGCTCAAGGACGCCCCCCGCGTCGTCGACCAGGTCATGAACGCCGGGAGCGTCTTCATCGGGGAATGGACCCCGGAGAGCGTGGGCGACTACTCGGCCGGCGTGAACCACTCGCTACGTATGTTTTTTTCTCCCTCCCTCCCTCGCTCTCCTGTCCCTCTTCTGTTCCCACCTTGAAAAGAGAAACGCAAATGACGCCTGGTGGCTGACCCTTTTGCACTCGCAGCGACCTACGGCTTCGCCAAGCAGTACTCGGGTGTCAACCTCGGCTCCTTCATGAAGCACATCACCTGCTCCAACCTGACGGCCGACGGGCTCAGGAACGTCGGCTCGGCCGTTATGCAGCTCGCCAAAGTGGAGGAGCTCGAGGCGCACAGGAGGGCGGTGGAGATTCGCATCAAGCACATGAACAAGCAGTAAGGGGGGCCATTGCCTCCCTTTCGCGATGGAGCAATGTCATGCAATGAGTAATTCGTACATACGACTACACATTAACTGTACAGGGGGCTTCTGAGCCCTAGAGGCGCCTTTCTTGCAAAGGACCAAATGTCAAATGATGCATAACCGCGCTTGGCCCTTTGTACATCTTTAAATGCTCGCACGCATAAAAAAAAACACTTGAAGCCAACGCCACGCTATGCCGCCACCATCAGCCCCGTCCAGAACACCCGTACAGACGTATGCTCACCCTTCCAGCTTCGTCCTCGACAAGTGTGCGCTGCGCGATACAGGGTGTAGTGGATAAAACGGCGTATAAAGATGCCTCGCTCCTCACCGTCGTGGCTCGGGCAGGGCCCGAATCTCCACCGGCTCTTCCACCCGCCCCGAGGACTGTCCGGCCAGGGAATCGACGCCGATTTGAGAAAACTGCTCTTCTTAGCCTGCTATTCCCCGTTTTGCCCCAGAGACAAGTGACCAACCCCTGTGATGACCTCGGCCGAGACATCTTCCGCCACGAAATGCGGCACCGAAGGCTTCCTCTTCTTCGCGGGCTCAACGGCATCCCCCGCGTCGTCTTCGTCATACTCGTCGTCGTCTTCGTACCCGTCATCATATTCCCCCTCTGCGTTGCCGTCGTCGGCGTCCTCATCAACAGTCATCATGGAATCCGCCATCTGATCCTCGTCGACACCCTCTTCCAGTGACCCCCGCGAGATGTAGCTGTCAGCAAGGCCTTCGCCAGTCTCCTCGTCGTCATCCTCCGAGTATGTGCTGGCCAGGTCTGCCGGGATATCCTGGTCTTCGCTGTCGCTCGCCGAGAACTCGTCGAGTGCCAAAGGGTCGTTTCGCCAGTACTTGAAGTCGGTGTACTCCTCGCCGCCACCCTTGACCAGGGTCCCGACGGGCGGGAAGTAATGGTCCACGACTTCGTTGATGTTCACGTAGCTCATCTTGAGCTTGTTAAGACTCAGGAGATCAAGAGACACCTCAGAATTCGAGTTGATGGTGAATATTCTGGTTCTTGGCACGTCAACGGTCCGGTACGAGATTTGATCGGTCAACCGATTGCCGAATCCAGCGTAGAAGGGGGTTCGATCATTGCCGTAGAGGTTACGGATGTCCCGAAGGGTGGCCATCTTGAAGATATGGGGCTTGCGCAAGTAGATCTCTCGGCGCAGGGCCGCCATAGTCCGGTCTGGGGACAGGATGGTAGGTCCATGCGGCATCTTGTAGCCCTCCTGGACGATGCCATTCAGATATGCCCTGGTGGTATCGGCCTGTCCGACCGACCGAGAGGTCAAGTACATGATGTTGTAGCCATTCAAGGCAATGTCGCTGTAGAGCTTGGCGACACCAGAATGAGTCCAGTCTCGGCCAATCATGTTCAAAACATGGCCCAAGGCATCGGACTTGGTAATGGTGCCGTCAATGTCCGAAATGACCACCGGCGTCTCTTCCAACCACAGGTACATGTTGGCGGAGCAGGTGGCTCGGTTGACGGTGAAGCTCATCAAGTTTTCGCCTGGCTTCAAGTCGAGTTCCTTGAGCTGGTCGCTAGTCAGCCTCAGGGTTTTGGCGTAGTTTTTGACGGGATATCGCGCATGGGCCGACTCGGGAGGTGTTCGAGGAGGTGTCTGTATGCCCGAGGGGCCGGCGTCGGACTCTGAGCGCCGATGCGCCGGGGTTCGAGGGCTGGCCGTGACGTCGCTCGCGTCGCTCTGGTAGCCGGGGTCGGAGACAGCATCTGCGTCAACGGTGTGTCGATGGGCGGCGAGCGACGAATCTATCGTCTTGTTCATGGCCGCCTGCTTGGCCTCCTCACTGCTATAAATCCACAGGTTCCCCATCTCATCGAAGCCAAAGAGGGCGCCGATGTCATAACTGCCGTCGAGTTCCTCCGAGAGCATCTTCCTGGCGAGAACCTCGGCTCGGAGCATGTCTTCCTCGCAGCTTTTGAAGCCCGTCATATCGAGCATGAGATCTCCGGTTTCCGTCACTTGGGTAGGAATATTGGCAGCCGACAATTCCTTGGACAGGGCGTGGGCACGCTCGATGGCTTCCTTGGGAGCCAGCGGAGGTGGGCTATGCGACCTATCTGAGGCCTCTTCCGTGCTCCCTACCTCAGCGGAGGTACCGTCGTCGCGCGACGGCGCTCTGGCGGATTGCCTCAGGACATCTTCGCTATGAGGACGCATAATGGCGGAGGACCAGTCGTCAGAGACGGGTCGCACAGTCGAAAGCGCGGGAGAGGCTGAGAGGGGAGTGAGGATGCCTTGATGGTCTGGTCAGCGTGGAGCGAGCAGGATGGATAGGGTATGGCAGCAACCCACCATTATCATCCGGGCGACCTTGGAGAATTGCGGGGGGCGGTCTGCGAGACTTGGTCGGGCCGTCATTGAGCTCAAGAGGATCCGGATCTTGAAGCTCAGATGCAGGATCCAGGGGCGGGCTGTTTGCGGGCGACACGAGAGGCGAGGTTTGCAGGGACTCTGGGATGGTGTCGGTAGTCTCGAAGACGAAGAAGGCTTCGCCGCCCTCGCCCAGCTTCATTGAGTATTCTTGCTTGACGCCATTTATGCGAAACTCGACCTTTTTCTCGTAGGGTCGCAGCAAGGAGAATTTGCCGAAGCGAACGTGGAAGGGAGAGCAGGAGAGGGAGCCGTCCTCGTGCTCGACGACGATGACATCGATGGCACCGCTAAGCGTGGCCGGGTTTATGGAGTTCCACGCCGTCGAAACCGAGTCGCTGAGATTGCGGACGTACTGCATTGTCCTGAACTGCTGGCGCCACGTCGGAGATGGCGACGAGAGGCGCTGACCTCGAGTTGGGGTAGGCGATGGCTTGGCGGGAGCGAGGCGGATGAGCAGGCAGAGGACGGGGGGAAGGAAAAGGGCGCCAATACGAGCGCAGAAAGAAAGAAGGATGAGACGAAGGAGTAGAAACCAGGCGAGAAGCAAGTGTCGAGCGAGAGGGAGGGCCCGAGGAGATAAGAGGGAGAAGCGAGCGAATGAGTTGAGAAAACGAGGTGAGTGGTTTGGCGATGACGCCCCAGGGCTTGTTGAGCCAGCCAAAATATCACGGAGCTGCTACTCTGTACTGAGATAGGTACTGTACCTGCGGCGCGGGAGACGGGACAGCACATGATTCACGCCAGAGAATAATTTGACAGGGGAAAGGCATGTGAGCAAACCCGCACTGTACGGGCCGGCATGCAAAAGCGGGCCATTGTGCCGGGCATTTTGGAGCGGTACCTGAGGCAGATGGTCGAGGACTCTCCAGCCACTCGCCTGCCCTCCATTTACAGTGCAAGGGGCATCAAGGGGCTGCGGGCGCGATGGAGGGGCACCCCCGCACCCGAGTATCTGCTGACAGGGCAAGAGTATCGGCGTGCGATGCCTCGGGTGGGTGCCTTGGGGGCACTCCGTGCTCGCTGACGAACGTGGCAGCACAAAGTAAAGCGCCGTAGGAGACGCCGACCTGAGGCGAGCCATGGCGCTCCCGTGACCTGTTACTTTCCACCACCACTAATTAAACAGGGCATTGCCCAGGTATGCACTGGAGCCATGAGGGCACTGGCCGGCCCGAGCATGGTGGCGCCTGGGGCCAAAACGTTTCTGCAGCTGTCGCGCAAATACGCCCAGCACAGTGCTGACAGAGTGGACATTACCTATTCCGACGATGTAGACGGCGGTGCCGAACCGCGGCCCCAAATCCCGTCATGTGCCGCCGGTGGTGGCGACAGTGTGCGCCATTCCGGGTGCTATGTGTGTTTCGGGGCCCCCCATAAACGCTCGGCGGTGACGAGGATGTTGTTGTATTGTAGGTAATACTTAAGTCATGCCATTGGGCGACCCAGCCATCTTCCCTCGTTGCTCTCTCGCGGGTAGGAGCAACTGTCGCCTCGGCCCAACGGCCATGGTGGGGGTGCAAGGAGAGGCTCGGTATTCGGAGCTTTTGTTATGGAGGCATTTCTCATTGTCTATTCACCGCCAATCACACGGACGTCCGAGCATCCGTCTTCTTCGCGGCCGGCCCGGATGACTGACTGTCTTGCCTCCAATAAAAACAACAGAAGAACTTGCCGCATACCCGGAGTGTGCGTGTAAGCCGCTCTATCCAATCACCATCTAGACTTTACCTTGACTCATGCTTTAACTTACCAGGTGACCGGATAATTCGCACAGGTCAGACAGGCCAAGGCTGCCTGAAGCCATCATGGCATTTCGACCTTGGACATCTCCTTTCATCTTAAACATTCCGTTACACAAATATGCACGCAGTTGGTACGCCATTAGCTCCACCCACGCCATTTTAAGGTCTCCCTCCTCTTGGCGCGTGTAAACGACGTTTCGTTGCGTCCAAACACCTCGAGGTCGAGAATCGTCCACTTCTTTCCAACTAAGCAGGCATACGTGGAGTCAATGCAAACCTTGGCCATCTTTTCACCAGCCCCTCCCCGTTGTTACCTGTCCCACTGCTGTCCCACCAAGCAGAGAGTGCGTAAACATCTCGGGAGTATTGCTCTTTACTTGGGCACGCCCGCCACGCTAGACGGCTGCCTCGCCCAAACTGCGCATGTCCGGCCGGTGCTGGAAAGTCCTTGATGGACATTTCCGGGATTTGCCGGCAGCAACAAGGACCACCCTCCTTATACAAGTTGTAGCGGTGTGTTAAGGAGGGGCGCATGTTGGCAGAGCAGCAAGAGAGGAGCACAAAATCACGACCGTCTGTGCGTCTGGCGACCGTAAAAAAGCGAGCACCTACGAATACGACGCCTAGGCGACTCCTCGTTGACGCCCAAACCACATGGAGGCACGAGACATGGGCCTAGCAGTCCAACTGGTAAATCGCTGCGTCTGACTTGCTCCACCAAGGACCAGGCCCGAGTAGTCCATGACTTCATGCCTCCCCCTCGAGCAAAAAAAATAAAATCAGTAGAGAGCACCTGCACCGAGTACCCGGTCAATAAAGGGAGTTGAATCGTCAGCGTCGCACTTTGTTAATTACTGGGGTGGCTGATACAGGGCAATGGCCTGTGTGGCCTGTAATGGTGCCCTATAGGCATGGGCGGCGCAGTACGCGCAGGGCGATAAGGTCGCAACTTCCAGTGTACAGGCTTGCTGTCGGCAGCCGCATCGAACCCCTCGCCGGCCAATCAGCTCGCTGAATCTACACCGGGGTCCGCACCTCTCAGGCCAGGCCCATACATCCACGTCTCTCTTGCAAGTTGCATCTTGCGACCACTTCAGGCTCCGGTACTTGGTCCTCTCGTCGCCCTGTCGCCACCCCGACAGTGCTCTGGGAGCTGAGAATATGTTATGGGAGCTTCCGAACCTGACGACCGTTTGCCTAGTCGTCTCCGGCGTCTGGTGGTTCTTTAGCCGCCAGGCTGCAAGCCCCAGGTCCTTTCACGCCCACCTTGGCATTGCCGCCCTCGCCCTTATCATCGACGCCCGCAGGCCGGCTCTGCGCCTTTGCGAGTCCGCCTGCTACGCCGTCGTCAATGCCACGCCCCTTCAACAGTTCAGGATGGTTCTGACCCTCGGCGCCGTTGTCTGGTGAGTCGCCCTCTTTCCTAGCATCTCGTGACTCCGCCGTGTTTGCGGCCTTGTTTTTTTTCCTCTCCCTTAGTGGCTTTTTCTTTCGGCGCAGCTCATCCTTTTCCTCGGCCCCTTCCCAAACTGCATGATGGCTAACGCTACGTCGCTTCTACCTCTCTAGGCTTCTTCACCGTTCATGGCAGACGCTCTGGAAACCCGTGCCGGAACTAGTCAGCATTCTCGGCGTTGACATCCCACAGGCCCCAGACGTCTGCCTCGCCGGGATAGGAGCCGACTCAGCCACCCTCAGCTGGACCAAGCCCGCCTCGAATCGACCCGTCCAAAAGTATCTGATACAGGTGAATGGCGTTCACGGTTAGTGCGACCTGGCTTGCAGGTGCCAAGTCTTGTCAGGGTTCAATCTCTAACCTCACCGCCGTTGCAGTTGGAGACTCACCGGGCAACGAGACCGCCATCACGGTCACTGGTTTGCGGCCGAATCACTTCTACAACCTACGCGTCGTTGCCGTCGGCCCAAACAACTTTCGCGCCGGAAGTCCCATTATCCGCCTTCGAACCTTTGGCAAAGATGGAAGGCCCCAGCTTGGAGGCTCGCGCCTGCCCACAAGCTTCGTCGACCCAGATTTTCCCCGTCTCGAAAGCGGCGATGATAACAACAGGCCTGACAAGCCCACTTCCTCGCTGCCAATGGTCGAGGCGGCACCGGTGCTGGAGAGCAGTGCGGCCGTCCCCAGAGACTTGAGCGTCGCCGCCCCCGGACAACGTCGAAACACGCTCAATCGTCGACACTCCCCATCCGTGGCAAGCTCCGATCAGCCCCAGATGAGAACAGCCCCCTCGGCGGATTCGGAACTGTCCCTGGCCGAGCTGAACGAGAAGTTTGAGGGAATTCGGAAAGAAATCGATGATACACTAGCCCTTTACGCCAAAGATGAAGCTGATTCCCAGCATCAAGAGGAAGAGTTAAAAAGGGACAAGGATAGCAAGCGACAGGTTCTCAAGGAAAGAGAAGAGCAAACGGCGCAGCTCAAGGCCATGATGCGAATCACCATGGAGCAGATGCGCGCCGCTGAAAAGGAGCGGGCCAAGAAGGAACAGCAGCTGAAGGACAAAGAGACTAAGAGGGCCAAGGTCCGCGACAGCACCACCAAGTTTGAGAATGAAATCGAGAGGATGAAGAAAGGGCGCCAAAACTTCGAAGCTCACAAGACGGAACTGGCGGAAAACCGCGACCGCGACGTCCAAAAGCTTGACGAGGACAATGCGGAACTTCAGGTCAACTGCATCAAGCTCGAGGCGGAATTGAAGGACAAGGGGAAGCAGCTTCAAGATATCAAGGCAACAAGGGCGCCTTTGCCCGGCGCTGACGACGAGAAGTGGAAAGAGGAGGATATCAGACTGAGAAGAAAGTGGGAGCTCCAAAGAAGGGAAATCCACAACCGACTGGTTGCCGAAACTAAGGATGGACATATTCTATCTCAGCAAATCCGCGACTTGGGCGAACAACTGAGCGCCCAGCAACAAGCCGGCCACGCATACTACAACCAGCCCGGCTCCTCGTCCATGGACTTTGAACCATCATCCATGACTCAGCCCAACCGCCCGGGCCACAGCGGCAATTCTGTCCTCCAGGCTGGTCTGTCCTCGCCTGATCGGACTCCTCATGCCGAGCCCAGTTTCCAAGGGGGCATAAGCTTCAACAACGCAGCGTTCTTGCCCATTCTCTTCACGGACCTGACGGCAGACGATGCCAACGAACTCCACACGGACATCGAATTCAAGGGAGCCGGTGGACTGTTGAGTCCGTCCGCGCAGACTCTTCTGCCCTCTAACATATTCGAAGAGAGCGAAGAGACGGAGACAATGGAGTCAAGGAGCCCCTTTGTGCCGGAACCCACGACCGAGGAGGGCCCCCAATCCCCAGCCTCTTCCAACATGTCCTTCACCGTGTTTTCGAGCCCCCACGGCTCTGCGCAAAACCTTCCCTTTCCCCAGTACTCGGATAATGGCGAGGGAAGCTCGTTCAACGTACACCCGTCGCCGCCGGTGGCCCCGGCTGCTGGGCATAAGATCGCCAGCTTTTTGTCAACCTTCCAGCGGGGCCGAGGTACCAAGACTTCGGACACCGCCGGTCCCCCAATCGGAAGTCTCAAGCCTGCCCAGAGTCAATCGTTTCCCAGCGTGACGGACGAAAACGAAGCCTTGGCGAACAGACGAAGGATCAACATCTCGTCGTGGGTGGGTCGAGGCTCGATGGCGCCAGTCATTACCTCTTCTGGCGCGTCCATTGCATCGCCAAGGCCGCTCTCCGCTCTGCGGTTGAATCCGCACAAGGGCTCGCCGGCTATGGGTGTATCTGATCGAGAGGGCGAGCACTCTAGGCCCGCGTCCATCGCCTCTACAGATCTCCCACGGCCGTCGACGGATAGCGGATCGATATGGGGCACCCCAGGCGATCCGTTGGTCTTGCAAAAGAACCGGCTTTGGTCCCCCGGGGACGGCCGATGGCCATCTAGGAACGGCTCGAGACGCCCGTCGCTACAGGGCTCCAATGCTTTGACGACCTCGCTCGCCTCTGCAGATGACGAGATTCTAGATGAAGACGACTTGTTGAATCCTGAAACGCTGCCGAGTCAGGTAGGCGTCATTGGATCCCGTCCGCCCGGCTCTTCAAAGTCAATGAACCAACGCCTCAATCCCGCCGCCCCAACATTTATGGCCCACATCTTCAGAAAGGATAGGGACCGGAGCAAGGACAAGGGCAAAGGAATTGAAGTGACGACTCCGAGCGGGGAGCTGGCTCCAAGCCTTGACGACTCACCTCCTGGCTCACGGGCCTCGCGAGACACGTACTCTGTCCATACCCAGACTTCGGTGTCCGAGTCGCACGAATCGCTGCAGCTTGATTTCGCCCCGTCAAACACCGCCTCTGATTTGAATCCGACGTCTGCGTCGAATGCCAAGGAACCAGAGAAGGCTGTCCGAAAGTTATTCCGTAAGGGGAGCTCCAGCAAGTTCAGCTTATCGTCGAGGTTAGGCAAAGAGTCGGGTCTGTTTAAGAAGGGCTCGGGCAGCGCCAGCAACTCGGATCGGAACGCTTCCGCGGATCATCGGTCGAGCATTGGAGACACTGACGATCTCGGAGACGACATCGCGGTGCTCGGGCGCAGCTACGACAGCGTGGCGAGTAGCACGTCTCTCGGTCCTTCTAAGTCCAAGGAGAACAGAGAGAGCGGACGGAAGGGCACGTGGCGCTTCTCCATGTCTTCGATCAAAAAGAAGAGTAAGGACACTCCGGTCAAGGATAAGGGAGGGCTGGAGACGGACCACACAGCGGACGAGGATTAAAGCCTCGGGGTCTCTGATCCGAAGCAGTTATCTGCAGCTATCAGGAAAATACGGCGGTATACGGGGAGCGTTGCCACGCCGTCCCGACTTAAAAATATAACACAACAAAACAAGCGAATACATGAATGCCTATCCGGCAACAGTCTATACCTCCCAGCCTCGGGACATGAGGTGAACAAGTGTTTACATGTTAAGGTCAGGCGAGTGATTATAGTAGGCCGGCCACTCCGTCAGCCTCGTTGTCGATACCTCGGAGACACACAGTCGACGAGGCAATGGCAATTGGTTCGTTTCGATGACTTGAGAAAGAAAACGAGCGACTGCCTGGCCAAGTGACAGGTATAGGGTAGGTGGATGACGTCGGGCAACGGACCTTGAAGGGCGCGACCCGCTTTTCGCGGCTCATCGAGGTGCCAAATGCTGGAATGCCACATGCGCCGCACGGCTACCGACGATCAATTACATTACAATACATCGATTGCGAGTATCGCTAATGCGCCGGCGGAGCTTTGCCGGCCACTCGATGCAGCAGAGATGAATGGCAGCCTTGAGGAAGCCTCCTCATTGGACACAGGTAAACATCACCCAGTCGCTCCGCGTTGAACGACGGTGACTGACGCCTCGGAACCCAGCCGATTACGATCCCATGAACCACCTCAATCTGATCTTCTCGCATCCATCAACCATTTCCTCCCTGAGCCAAGTCTCCAAGACTCTCCGAGCTCATCAGAATGACCTGTCGGACGAGATCGACGCCCTGGAAACAGTCCAGGCATACAAGCCAAACTCGAGTCTCGAGCGCATGCAGTCGGCCCAGACGGAGCTGGCGCAGCTCTTCCGCAAGATTGAGACGGTCCGATCCCGGGCGATCGAGACGGAGCAGAACATCACTTCGATGACGGCCGACATCAAGAGGCTCGACGGCACCAAACGAAACCTGACGCTCAGCATGACGGCGCTCAAGCGCCTGCAGATGCTGACGACGGCGTACGAGCAGCTGCGAGGCCTGGCCAAGACGAGGCAATACCGCGAGTGCGCTGGTCTCTTGCAGGCTGTCCTGCAGCTCATGAGGCACTTCAACAGCTACCGGAGCATCGAGCAGATTGCGACGCTGAGCCGCGAGGTCTCGGAGCTGCAGCGCGAACTCCTGGAGCAGGTCTGCGAGGACTTTGAGATGGCCTTTGCCAAAGGTGAGGTGGCCGCCAAGAAGGGCACGCTGATAGAGGCCTGCTACGTCATGGACGCGTTGGGTGACTCGGCCAAGTCTCGACTCATCACCTGGTACGTCAACACGGAGCTGCGGGAATACCGCCAAGTTTTTCGAGGAAACGACGAGGCGGGGAGCCTGGACAATATTGGGCGGCGATACGCGTGGTTCAAGCGGATGATCAAGACGCACGAAGACGAACACGCAATGCTCTTCCCGCCACACTGGCGAATGAACGAGCTGCTGGCCACGGCGTTTTGCGAGGGGACTCGCGATGATTTTAAGGGCATCTTGGAGCGGAGCATGCGGCGCACCGATGGCCAAAAGATCGACGTCAATATGTTGCTCAATTGCCTGCAAGAGACGCTGGATTTTGAGCAGACGCTGGAGAAACGCTTCTCAAACGAGCCGCGGGCGAGCATCGACACACTTAGCTCGGCCGAGGAGAAGACGCACAGCTTCAACGCGCTCATCTCTGCCGCCTTTGAGCCGTACCTCGGTCTCTGGGTCGAGTCGCAGGAGAAGCAGCTGGCGGCCATGATACCAAAATACCGCAGCCAACCTCCCTTGCCGCCGGACGAGGAGTTCTCACCGCAGGCCGTCATGACGTCGGCCATTGAGCTGTTTCACTTCTACAAGCTTACCCTGTCGCAATGCGCCAAGCTGTCACCCAGCGAGTGCTTGCTAGACCTGTCCAAGACGCTGGCAAAATACCTGGACGAGTACGCCCAGCAGGTGCTGCTCCACAAGCTACAAGCCGGGGGACAACAAGGCCCCTCGATCCAGGAGGCGGTGCTTGTCTTGAACACGGCCGACTTTTGGCACACCAACACCAACCAGCTGGAGGAGAACATCAAGAAGCGCATCGACAACGAACTCGTACCCAAGGTGGACCTCACGTCGCAGTCGGACGCCTTCTTGGGGGTTGCGAGCGCGGCAGTGCTGGCGCTGGTGCACGTTGTGGAGCTGGATTGCGAGGGCGTGTGGCGTGAGATGCGAAACACGAACTGGAGCACAATGGACAGCGCGGGTGACCAGAGCTCCTACGTGGGAGAGTTGGTCAAGCACGTCAACGGCAAGACGCAGGAGATTCTGGGCGTGGTGGCCAAGCAGCAGTACGCGCGGGCCTTCTGCGACAACTTGGTGGAGCATCTGGCGACGGGCTACATCAGCAACATTGTGCAATGCCGGCCCATCTCCGAGATCGGTGCGCAGCAGGTAGGTGGCCATAACCCTGAGCTGAGAAGCGTCCACTGACGACGGCGTGTAGATGCTCGTGGACAAGTACGCCCTGACCAAATCGTTTGGAAACTTGCTGTCGCTCCACAACCCGTCGCCCGAGCCGCAGCCACCGCCGTCGAGCTTCGTGAGGAGGGTTGAGCACTCGATGAACCGGATGGATCCGCTCCTCAAGACGCTGCAGGTGCGGGCGGCGCCTCCGGAAGGTCTTGTGCAGGCATACCTCATCCACATTGCGGATCGGTCCGACAGCAACTTCAAGAAGATACTGGAGCTCAAGGGGGTGCGGAAGCAAGATCAGGCACACTTGATGGAGCTGTTTGGCATTCACCGAGAAAGCAGCAGCTCCAACGACAAGCTGGCGCAGAACTCTGCGCTCTTGACGCCGCTCATGGCGGGCTCCGGCGTCGGCGGCGTCACGGGCATCGGATCGATGAACCCGACGGCGGCGTCGGCGGGCACGCGATTCGAGGCTGGGTCGCTGGGGGAGAAGCTACTCAGCGCGGCGCGGGACATTGGCACGAGCAGCGGGGCAGACCGCGGGGCGCCGAGCGGGCTGGAGAAGGCGACGATCAACGAGAACCTGCGCAACTTTGGCAAGTTCTTCAAGAAGGATTTCGGGGGCTTCGGGGCCAGGTTCGGGAAGCGGGACGGGAGCCTGGGGGCCGACGAAGGGCAGCGTTGAGATGAGGAGAGAGGACGAAGTAGCTTGCATACTATTTCCACCTCGGATAAGCATCATGACACCATTGTTGCCATGACGCTCGCTTCTACCTGTGGTCTCTCGGCGGATACTGGAGAAAAGAGAGAGGGCATCACCCTTCCCCCCCCCCAAAATACCTACCTTACCTACTTAGGAGCTTGTTACTTGGGTACCTTACCATGTGCTGTAAGGCTTGTCGCATTACGTACCATCGTTGCTTAGTCACAGCCGGAAGGGGCGAGATCCGATGGCGCAACAGGCCCGACTCGGTGCCTTGCCCTGTCCAAAGATCCTTTAACGATACTATCCTGCAAAATCGCGCAAGACATTGAGCTTAGAAATCGGGCACTCTCACGCTGCTCTTTTACCAAGGCTCGGCCTACGAGATCTGTCCGAATTCCTGCTCCTCTTCGTCTTCTCTACCCCCAAATCTCGTGCCAACAACGAGCCGCCGGCCGATAAGAGACATCAAACAGGCCCACTCAAGACACATTCAAAGATCAAGCCAAGACAGAATCAAGGAACGCTCCGTACGACGTCGACGGAGCGAATACCGAGAAAAGAGTCGCCAAACTGTTTGCCCCACGGCTCGGGCGGACGCTGAGGTCGAGCGCCGGGCTGTCCATTGCGGCGGCGGCGACTGCGTTGCACAGGACCAGAGTGCAGCCGGCGGAGCTGGGATCGAGGAAGATGCACAGCAAGGTTGTTAGTATGTGCTGTTTCCCCGCCGCGGTTCTCGATGCCCAAGGCTAATGGCGGCGACGCAGTCATTGGCTCCGGGCCCGCGGCCCATACCGCGGCCGTCTACCTGGCGAGGGCGGAGCTGAAGCGTGAGTGGCACCAATCTCTGGGGGAGGAATCAAGGCAGAAGGAGAAAGACTTGAAGCAGAGGAAGGAAGAAAAGAGCGAAGCTAACCTAGGTGGCACGCAGCGGTCCTGTATGAGGGCTTCATGGCCAACGGCACGGCGGCTGGAGGCCAGCTCACGACGACGACCGAGGTGGAAAATTTCCCCGGCTTCCCCAAGGGAATCATGGGCCAGGAGTTGATGGTGAGCCTCCCCTCCTGTCCCCCGCGCACGCGACGGCCAACATAGCTTTGCAGGACAACATGCGCCAGCAGTCGGAGCGCTTCGGCACCGAAATCATCACCGACACGGTGGCCAAGCTGGACCTGTCGTCGCGGCCCTTTCGGTACAGCACCGAGTTCAGCCCGGACGAGACGCACACGGCCGACGCCGTCGTCATCGCCACGGGCGCGTCGGCGCGCCGCCTCGGCCTCCCCGGCGAGACCGAGTACTGGCAGAACGGCATCTCGGCCTGCGCCGTGTGCGACGGCGCCCTGCCCATCTTCCGCAACAAGCCCCTCTTCGTCATCGGCGGCGGCGACTCGGCCGCCGAGGAGGCCACCTTCTTGACAAAGTACGCCAGTCACGTCACCGTCCTCGTCCGCCGCGACGCCCTGCGCGCCAGCAAGACCATGGCCTCGCGCCTCCTGGCCAACAAAAAGGTGACGGTCCGCTTCAACTGCCAGGCCGCGGAGATCCGCGGCGGGCCCGATGGCCTGATGACCCACGTCGTCGTCCGTGACGCGGCCGCCGGCGACAAGCTCGACGTCGTCGAGGCAAACGGTCTCTTCTATGCCGTCGGCCACGACCCGGCCACGGCCCTCGTCAAAGGCCAGGTCGCCATGGACGACGAGGGATACATCAAGACGACCCCCGGAACCACCATGACGAGCGTCGAGGGCGTCTTCGCCGCAGGCGACGTCCAGGATAAGCGCTACCGCCAGGCCATCACCAGTGCCGGTAAGTTCCCGTTTCCCTTGGACACGTGGGTCCGTGAAGGTATCGCGTCGAGGCACAGGCGGCTGGCTGACCGGGTCCGATGTCACAGGTACCGGATGCATGGCTGCCCTCGAGGCAGAGCGATACTTGACCGAGCAGGAGGAATGATGGACTGAGAAGTACAAGTACGGAATAGACGGAGGCAGCGGCATCGAATCTAAACTTTGGCATAGAGTATAAATTCAACGGCGTGTAGGGTCCTAATGCCTTGTACTAGATGGCATCTTCACTTGGTGAGTGCCCAGCTGCGCGCCGATGATTACACGGACCGACTCGAGCGCTGTGTCAGTGCGAACCAGAATTGGTTCCGTCAAACCCCTTTTCTCTCCAACGTGCGATTTGCCCTATTCTGCAGAAGATGACGTCTTTTCTTGTCCTGCGATGCCACGCAGTAAACGCCCGATACAATATCCGTTGTCAAAATGGTTGGTTTTTCCCTCTTTTACTCTTTTAATTCTAGCTCAAGCACGGCCGGAGCCGTAATGGTTGAGCCCTTGAGTTTCTCAAGGCCCTCGCCACCCTGTTAATGGTGCATTAGCCTCGGTCCCTGTTTGTAAAAAAGGGGCAGCGGCGGGGAAAAGCAACGTACATAGCTGATGAGAGGAGACACCTCGACGCCGCCTTCTGCGACGACCGTGGCGCCGGCTTCCTGCGCCCAACGCTTGCCCTGCTCCATGATGTCGCGCTTGCTGGTATCGGCGTCATCCTCGCCCTTGCCCCGGGCATTCTTGAGAGGCGAGAACTCGTCCTCGCGGCGCACTTCCATGCAGGCGAACTTGTCGAGGGACACGAAGGGAAAGACGTCGAAGACGAACTGCTCGAGCTTGATGCCGTTGGGAGACTCGGGCTTGACGGTCTCGCCAGTCTTGAGGTCCGTCGCGGGGATCTTCTTGTGGGCGACGTGGTGCGGCAGCTTGTGGGCCCATTGGGGGATGGACTCGAGGAAGCGGAACGAGTAGTAGTGGTTGACGATGTTGGCGGCGCGGAACTTGAGGAGGCCGGCCTGCTTGGGGTCCTGGGCCTCGGCAGTGGCCTTGTCAATCTCCGAGTACTCGACAACATCGGGCTTGCCGTTCTTGGAGAGGATCAGGCCGACAGGCTCGGTGGCATTGCGCTTGCGGACGACCTTTGTGGCAATGTCGACGTCGAGGGAGGCCGAGAAGCCGATGAAGACGGGGTCGGCGACCTTGACGAGGCAGTTGTCGACGCAGTAGGCGTGGATGTGCTGGATGCCGCGCTTGCGCATGTCGTCGAGAACGCCCGAGACGACGAGGGCTTGGTAGATGCCGCCGTTGCCGTCGGGAGCTACGGCTACCTTGGACTTGTCCTCAAGCAGGATCTTGCCGTCGTTGGAGATGCAGGGCAGAACACCCTGCTCGAAGATGCTTACGTTGGCAGAGTCGAGGCCAAAGTAGCTGTGATCCTCGAAGAACTTTTGCGTGGGCCCGCGAGTAGGGCCGCTGGTCATGACGTACCAGGGCACGACGGCCGAGGGGGGGCCGGCCTTTTTGGCGGCGAGCTCCTGGACCTTGCGGATCCGCTCGGCCTGGATCTGGAAGAGGGTCTTGTGGGAGGGCAGGCCAATGTCGAAGCAGCCTTTTGGGGCGGAGCTCCCGAGGCGAGTGCCCTGGCCGCCGGCCATGAGGACGACGGCCACCTTGTTCTGGCCGATGAGGTCGAGGCCCGAGCTGTACCACTTGCTGATGTCCGCGGCACTCGAGTCGAGGATGCTCGCCGTGGCAGATTCGGGCAGGGGCTCGAGGGTATCGGTGGACTTGTCTGACTCGGGGGTGCTGAGGGCGCGCTTGGCGATGTCGTTGATGTGGGCCGGGTCGAAGCGCGAGAGCTGGTCGAAGAGGAGGCCCCGCTGAGGGGAGCTCAGAGAGTCGTAGAAGGTAAAGACATGGCTCTGGCCGGCGTCGGAGTACTTTGCCTTGAGGTTGGACAGGGCCTCGGGCGAGGGTTCGGGAGGGGCGGCGGCGTTGGGCTGGGAGCCGACGTGTAGCAATGCCTTGACCTTGTCCATGGTGTTTGGGGGGTTTGCTGTGAAGAGTGGGAAGTAGAGGGCGGCGAGCTGGATTGAGGAAGGGGGGGAAGAGGCAGAGGAGTAGAAGATGAAGGAGATGAAGGAGACAGGAGGGACTTTTTAAAAAGTACAATGGCGAAGCGTTGTTGGCCCTCCCAAGCCTGACGTCGGTCGGTTCCCTGGGAGATTCCAGGGGAGAGAGAGAAAAGAGGGGCTGTGTGCCTTGAATGGAGGGGCTGAGGGGCACAGCGCTAGAATACGAGCCCAAAGCTACTATTTACAGCACTGGGCTGCAGTGGGGTGAACTGGGTGAATTACACAGTCGGCGCCCCTATTTCTGCCATGCATGCTTATGAAAGGTGTCTTTCAACAAAGAGCCATATATAGTTATTTCCCAGGAGCCTTTGGCAGGTGCAACGGCGATGGGGCCGGATACCTGACTTTAATCTGCCCCCTTAACCTTTAATATTAGCATCTCCAAAGAGGTCATGGTTTCGCTCATGATGCGGTGCAGCGAACAACAAACAGTACTTTTGTCGTATCCAGCCGACGTCGTCCCCCGTCGTAGGGTTGAGAGTGGTGGCGGACTAGACGTGCGGGAGGCGCGTGCCGAAAAAAGATGACAACATCGCCACCTCTATCCGTTTCTCTCGCCTCACCTAATCACCATCCTACTGTACAGCATGCAGATGGCCACGTAAATCCATCATTTCAGCGACTGGGGAGGAACACGACAACGACGATGCATCAGGAGGAGAGCGCAGAGGCCGCCGTGGACCCGGAGCAGTCGCCTCCTGCGACCTTCAAGGGCCGTCTCCAGCTCGACAGTTTCAAGTACATCGCATCCGCCGAGGCGACGATGAGCCCCCTCCCCCGTCGAAATCCACGGCGGACCGCAGCTGCATCGTCCGGCGACGGCACCACGCCGGCGTCCGCCTCACCCCCACGAGCAAGCCCAGGCTCCAGCGTCGAGGCCGAGAAGAGGAAGCGAGCCCCGGTTGATCGCCACTCTCCTCCTCCAGCAGCGGCGCATATCCCTGGGTCTCCCTCGACAAGGCAGGGCAAGCGAACAAGGACCGCCGGGGGCTACGCACCGCCGTCGACCTACGCTCACCTGCCGCTGCTCCCCGACGCTGTCGCCCCCAACCTGCTGGTCTTCTTCATCGGCCTCAACCCGGGCATCCAGACGGCCCGCACCGGCCACGCCTACGCCCACCCCTCCAACCTCTTCTGGAAACTGCTCTTCTCCAGCGGCATCACCCCGCGGCCCTGTCGCGCCGACGAGGACCGCCACATGCCCGCCCTTTATTCCCTCGGCCTGACCAACATCGTCGCCCGCCCCAGCCGCAACGCAGCCGAGCTCAGCAGGGCCGAGATGGACGACGGCGTCGCCCTGCTCGAGGAAAAGGCGCGTCGCTGGCGGCCTGAGGCCATGTGCGTCGTCGGCAAGGGCATCTGGGAGAGCATCTGGCGCGTGCGTCGCGGCCGTCCCGTTGGCGCTGATTTCCGCTACGGCTGGCAGGATGAAAGGGAAAACATGGGCGTCACCGACGGTGAGTGGCCTGGGGCCCGCGTCTTTGTCGCCACCAGCACCAGTGGCTTGGCTGCCTCGCTGTCTCCGGCCGAGAAGCAGGCCATCTGGGCCCAGCTGGGCTCGTGGGTCCAGGCAAGGCGCGCTGCGAGGGAGAGGGAGGCCGAGGCGGATCGACGCAAAGACAAAGAAATGGCTTCCTGACATTTTCCCGACATGTACTCACAAAAATCCACTCGTCTCGATTCATCTGCCGTCTCGACCTGAGAGAATGGGATGCTGGGGAACCACGATTAAGCTTGACTGGTTTGAGATGGCCAATCCATGACGAGAATCACTGTCGCCTGTTGGCTACGCAGCAGCCCCAGTGGCCCAAATACGTCCATCTAGACCAGCGAAGAGATGGTGGTCATGGCCAACAATTTTACGGGTATGTGGTCAAGCGGACCTACCGTTCGTCGTCGTCAAGCCGACCATGACTTCTCCAAGGTCGGTTTGTCAGGACTCAGACGGAAGTAATGACAACGGCAGGTTAAGTTACGGAGTAAATAACAGGCGACTCATGATCCGGTAAAGACAAAGCTAAGCACACCAATGAAAGGCTTATTACAAGCATGGGTCGCCTCAACATGGATTTGCGACTCACTGAAGACATCAAAGACATTATGGGCGCACAGGACATCTCAAGGGGGTCCTTTGTCCACGCTTTGTCCAATCATTCAATTTACCATTCAAATCTACTGTATAGGTGGCTTGCGATCAAAGCTGCATTCTTGCAAAAGCCTTTTCGACCAAATCAACCTCGGTCGCCCGGCGGGCCTTCTCGATACAAATACCATCTTTCCTTCATACATCAGTGCCTTCTTCGTCGTGAACGGCCGAAACCCCAAGATGCGCTTGCACATAAAGCCAGCCAAGGCCCTGCAGGCGGAGCCCCTGGACGCCGTCGTAGATACGGGTACAATTAGCAATACTCAATCAATAGTAATGCTCTTAAAAAATCTTCATGAAAGGGCTCGAGAGCTTTGGACATGGAATCATCCCCTGTAATGCAAGATCGCTACACACTACACCGACAAGATGGGTAATCCTGTTTTAACCCCCTTGCCTGCCATCCACACCCACTCTTCCAGACTCCGTACGCCAGTGATGCCTCGACGCCGTAGGGCTTCTTCCCGCCAACGCCCAGCTGTCTCACTTGCACCGCTTCTCGACCACGCCAGGCCCGTTCTCCTCGTACTCCTTCCTCGATATCCACATCTGGTGAAAGGTGCCGAGGCTCGCCAGGATGCTGCCGCCGATCCAGGCGCCGAACCGCCGCTCGCTCGTCAAGCCGGCGGCGTGGATCTTGACCTTGAGGCCGGGGTACATGGCCGTCAGCTCGTTGTTGAGACGATCATTGAAGCCGTTGATGAGGCTGGTGCTGCCCGTCACCACCACGTTGGCCAGCAGGTTGCCGCGCAGGTCCACGTCCACGGCGCCGAGGGCGTTGCGGATGAGCTCCGGGATCGTCTGGGCCTTGGTCAGGCGCTCCGGCTCCGGGATGGGATACCCGGCGCTCTCGTCCCACATGCCCTCGGTCACCTTGAAGCGCTGCTCGCGCCACATCTGGTTGTAGCCGTCGGGCATCTCGAAGACGCGGCCGGGCTGCGTCTTGATGTAGTCCTCGTTGCCCGGCACCGTGTATCTGCCCGGGCCCCGCCAAACCTCCACCACCGACTCCTTGAACTCTGTCAAGACGCGCTCGTCCTCGTACGCGCGGAAAGAGTCGCTGACTTGGAAGGGCCATTTGCGCAGCCGCGCCTGGGCGGGCGTGCCCGCGTCGACAGGCGTCTTGTTTTCGACCATGAAGGTCGGGATCAGGTTGACCTTGGGCTCCGACGTCTCCCATAGGCTGCGGATCTGGGACGACAACCAAAGGCCGCCGACGGGAGAGCGCTGGATGGACCGCTTGAGGACCATGCCGTCGTGGATGGCCGTGACCGACGTGTTTGAGCCGCCAGCGTCGATGACGAGAGCCGTGGCCTTTCCGGCGGCAAAGGCCGACAGGACGGGGGTGCGGCTCAGCCAGAAGGCGGGACACCCCCAGTTCTCCATGATGATCTCGATTGCCTTTTCCCTGGCCTTGGGCGTGTTCCAGGGCGCCTCGGTCATGAGCAGCGGATTTTCCTGCAGCGGCTTCTCCGCTGCCTCGGCCTCCTCCATGGCCACGTCTCCCTCGCCATCCTGCTCCTTGGCGGCGGCTGCAGAGTCGTCGTCGTCGTTGAGGCCGTTCTTGGACGGCGGGGTCGGGCGCTCGGGCTGCAGGCGCTTAACGAGCATGTGTTCCCAGATGTTGGCGGCGACGTCCCAGTCCTCGACGACGCTGTCGCGGTTCATGTAGTTGCGCACCTCGAAGTCGGCGCGGGGGATGAGGCACTCGTCGCCAAAGACGTCTCGCGGCGGGTCGCCGGTGATGTGGCCGTAGAAGGAAGGGAGGATGGACTTGGGGATGTCTTCGCCGGCGAAGCCCGCGCGTGTGTTGCAGTAGCCGGGGTCGAGGACGAGGGCGGAAACCTCATCTGCGAAGCCATGGTCAGTCGGGACGTTTGCTGGGCCAGGGATGGAGACGCGACGCACCGCCACCGTAGACGTCGGTTGGCTGGGCCGACGTGGGCAGAGGTTGCTGAGCCATGGCTGGGCGTCAATGGAGGGCGCGATGGACGCTCAAGGGCAGACGCGATCTGGCTGGTGACGGTTCAACAGGGCGCGCGGCTGCGATGGAAGCAAATTTCAGCCTGGCGCTGGGTGGTCAATTCGCAGCGAGCTTGCAGGCGGCTCTTGGCAGGCTTACAGCGGGTCGACGACACCTGATGGAGCTTCCACGTCCTCTGCCTCGGTGGAAACGGAGAAGCTGTTTTTCCACTTCCTTTTCCAACCAAGCTCTAGTCATTTTTCCTCGCCACCACAGCGCACTTTTTCTTTCTCTCGTTCGCATCACCCATCCTCGGGACCATTTCACGAGTTGCCATTACGCGCGTGAATCACCAGTTCCGTGCCACGGCCATGATTGTAAGTTTTTTTTTCATCATCATTTCCCTTCTCTCTCTTCATGTCGCTCTGTGATGAATTCGCACTCTCGCTTCAGAACCGCTGCGATTGACACGGCTTAATTGCTGTGTGTGATATAACCTGCTAATATCTGAGTCTCTTCTCTTGTTTTCTGCGTCGTACTCTCTTTCATAAGGCTTTTGAACACGCCGGAGCTTGATCATGAAAGCTGACCCGTCTCGCTTCAGGCGCGATGAGGTATTCCATATGCCTTCGGCTGGCGCGCCAGCCCTCGATCCCGCAATCATGCCTCAGCCTGCCGTGCACAAGACGTGCGGCGTGCAGGGGCGCGCCGGTCAACATGCCGGTCCGAGCTCTGGCTACTGCCGCGTCCGGCGCCCCTGGCAAAAAGTCGAGATTCACCGCTGAGGAGAGCGATGAACGCGAGCATGTGTCAAACTTCAAACAGCAAAGGCAACGAGAGCTTCAGGAGGATCGCGAGAGCGAGGACCCACTCTATCCCGATGCCTACCCTCGGCTCAAGCCGTCGGATGGGCGGAAGAGCGTCGCTGAGTTTCTAGAAGTCTTCAGTAGCGAGCCCTCGGGGGAGGAGGTCGTCCTTATGGGCCGGGTCCGATCCAAGCGCGTCGTCGGAAGCTCGCTCATCTTCCTCGACGTTGTGAACGAGTTCCAGAAAGTGCAGATCATGATCAACAAGAAAAAGTGTGTTCCCGAAAAGCCCAAAAGAAACCGTAAATTCGCCGTCCTCAAGCACCTCATCCAGGTCGGCGACCACATCTGTAGGACAAGACTCCGACGCCCCTTTCTACCGCGGGCCTGACCGGTGGCTGACGGTATTCGCAGCGGTCACCGGCGTCGCCACACGCACCGAGGCCGGAGAGCCGACGCTCGAAGCCCGGGAGCTCCCCGAACTGCTCGCGCCGTCCATGGAGCAGATACCGGAAAAGCTCACCAACGCCAAGTCGCGCATGCAGGATCGCCACGTCGACATGCTCGTCAACCGGGAGGTGGTCGACGTCCTGAGGCTCCGCGCCGAGATCACAAAGCACATGCGGGACCACTTTCACTCGAAGCGCTTCCTCGAGTTCCAGACTCCCATCCTGGCCGGCAACGCGGGCGGCGCCGTCGCGCGGCCCTTTGTCACGAGGGCGTCGGCAAACTTTCGCAACAAGGACCTGGCCCTCCGCGTCGCGCCCGAGCTGTGGCTCAAGCGGCTCGTCGTCGGCGGCGTCGACAGGGTCTTTGAGATTGGCCCGGCCTTTCGCAACGAGGGCGTCGACGCCACCCATAACCCCGAGTTCACCATGTGCGAGTTCTACAGCGCATACACCAGCCTCCCCGACCTCATCCACGAGACGGAGGAGCTGCTCCACGGCCTGGCCAGGCGCTCCCAGGAGCTCATCTCCACCCAGCTCACCTCGTTGCCCCCCGTCGACCTGTCGCGGTTCGTCCGGCCTTTCAAGCAGGCCGAGTTTGTGCCCGCCCTCGAGGAGGCCATGGGGCTCCGCCTTCCCAAGCTCTCTGCCGAGGCTGCCCTTCCCGAGATGCTGGCCGTGCTGAAGCTTGGCGGCATCAATGTGCCTGGCGAGGTGCCCAGGACGCTGCCCAAGCTCCTCGACCGGCTTGCGGCCCTGTACCTGGAGCCCATGTCCTTCAAGGAGCCCCTCTTCATCACCAACCACCCCGCGTGCATGTCCCCGCTGGCCAAGAGCTTCCTGTGCCCCAAGACGTACCAGCTCGTCTCGGCCCGCGCCGAGCTCTTCGTCGGCGGCAGGGAACTGGCCAACATGTACGAGGAGGAAAACGACCCCGAAGAGCAGAGGCGCAAGCTGGTTGCCCACCGCAGGCTCGTCAACAAGGCCGACGGCGACATTGGCTTCGAGGAAGCGCCGGTCGAAGCGCCCCCGGCCGCCGACGACCCGCCGGCGCAGGCAGACGAAGAGGGCGACGTGGCCGAGCAAGGCGAGGAATGCGACAAGGCCGACGAGGGCGACGACGAGGGCGACGACGAGGGCGACGACGAGTGGGGCGCAACCCCTCTCGACGAGACCTACATCAAGGCCCTCGACTACGCGCTGCCGCCCACGGGCGGATGGGGCTGCGGCGTCGAGCGCCTCGTCATGCTCTTCTCGGGCGTGAACCGCATCAGCGACTGCCTGAGCTTCGGGACGTTGCGCAACGTCGTCGGCTTGTCGGCCGACGACAGGGCCGACGACAAGGCGGCCGTCCAAAAGGCCAATAAGGAGGCCGTGGCGGATCCGGCACCCAGAGATGGGGAATGAACACAAACGACTCTCATATGTTGCTCCGGCGGAATCTTGGAGCACGAAACGTTGTCTTTCAGGAGGCGGGGGTCGAAATAAGGCTACATACTTGTGTCGACATGAGAGCCTTTCCCCTCTGATACCAGTTAGCCGCCAGGGAGAAACTTTCCTATATACGTAACTCGAAGAGATGTCCCCTAGAGGGAGTGTACTATTCTAATAAATCATCGCTTCGTGCGCAAACCAAAGCCATGACATGCCGCCAGCGAAATCCAACGCCCAGCTCCGCGTGTTCAATCCTTCGTAAACCATTCATAAATCCACCAGCCCCAGCTTACAACATGCTCAGCCGCTCGTTTCAGCCAACTGATAGCTGGAACAAGCTGCTCTTCTCGGTATCGTGCGTCTCGTGCACCCACCCCCTCACCGTCTTGTCGTCCAGGCGTTTGGAAAAGTCGGTCTCGGCCGGCAGGATCCTGATGGAGATGCTGGCGCTCTCGCCGTGGAAGACGACGGCCACCGTGACGAAGCCGTCGACGGGGCGGCGGAACCAGTCGGAGCTGCCGGCGCCGTTGGCCACGTGAAGCGTGCTCTTGCACTTTGTGTCGCCCGGGGCGAGGACTTCAAAGATGTCGGCCTCGCCGCACTTCGACACCCAGCAGCTGCACCTGTCATACTGGCCGGTGCGGGGGATGCGGGCGTTGAGGAGCCAGAGGGCGGGCATGTCGCCGTTGAGGCCGTGGGCCTTGTCGTGGGGCATGCTGAAGCGGAAGAGGAACACTTTGTTGGCGCCGGTGAATCCCTCTGCGCAGCGATACATGTCAGTCCGCCCTTCAAGGTGGGTTTGAATTGGAGCACTGGGTGATGCAGACACATACTGTAGGCAATGTCGCGAGCACGCGAAAAGCCGCAGCTTTCGTCGCACTTTTCGCCGCTAAATATGGCAAACTCCTTGTTGCATGGGAGTAGGACATCCTTCAGAGTCTTGGACGAGCCCGAGCCACCGGTGCCGTCAGCGTTGAGGTAGGCGAGGGAGTTTCCAAAGCTACATCATGTGGTTAGTATTAAGCAGTGCGCGAAGTTAAGAAACACCCATACTTGTCAAAGACACCAGACCCCTGGCCTCCGTAGTTACCCATAAACATCATGTTCTTGACGACCTGGCTCTCGGCGTTGTAGTAGGCAATGCGATCCCAGCTGTTGCCAGGCGAGCCAGAATTCGGCCGGTGCGGATGCGGCTCCTCCTCGGCATTAGAGTCACCTACCAGGGGTTTCTCCTCGGACGCAGAGGACGTCTGCGAGGAGGGAGTAGCTGAGGGACGCTTCTCCTCCGTATGCGTCACGGCATATGGACCGTGAACTGTATGAATAGTGACCATCGGTTGACTATTAGTCGAGGCAGCCGGACGAGGATTCTGCGGGACCTGAACGGCGGAAGGTCACTCCTGAGCATGAACAGCTGCAGAAGGAACTGCAGAGAGTCGAGCGGCCTGAGGAGGAACCCGGATGGTATGAACAACGGGAGGCGGAGTTGGGAGAATAGGGGCGGCGGGAGGCGGGTCTTCAGTCCCAGGGCCGTGGTAGTTGTTCACCCACGACACGACCACGCCGTTGATTGTTGCCGTAACCATGTCTGCCCTCTTCCCCACCTGGTGAGCACGTCGGTGTCGGTGTCGGCGGCCGCGGGCGCGTCGAGACATAGCCACGCTGCGCTTCCTATTGGGAGAAACGGTGTAGACGGCGGCCTCCTTGAGATGAAAGGGTCCACGAATATGTATCGAAAGCTGGGGCATGTCAGACACCGGAGAGGATAGAATAAAAGGGGCGCGACTATCTTACACCTTCGTCCAACGGAGCAAGCGGACCACTGTAGGTCTTATTCACATACGCACACGTCCCTTTTGAGTCCATGGCGGCGACGGCGTCGTATTTTCCATTGCCTCTGAGACCCTCGTAGAGTATATGGCCGACTTTGCCACAGAAGTAGTTGCCGCCTTCGTTAACAGCCTTGCCGGAGCACTGCTGCGTCAGGGCAGATGCCCAGCCCGCCGAGCTAAGCAGCAACGAGGAGCCGAGCCTCATGGTTGACGATGCCTTGTAACAAAGCCACAATAGCCAACGCTCGCCGCGACTTGGGAATGCCAGAGAGTATTAGTGGACGAATTTGAGGATTGGCAAGACTCGCAAGCTGGCTGTCGAGGGCGGAAACGAATATGGCCAAGGAGTCCGTCAAGGAGCGAGGCCTGGAGCAAACGAGCAAAAGCGGCTTGCCGCTGAATGAAGCCGAGAATCGTCAAAGGATGCCTCTCGCCGGGAGACGACAAGAAGACACAAAGGGACAGGAGCACCAGGCCACAAATCAGTTGCTCGGTCAAGGGTTCTCAGGGAGGGCGCGAAGCCCGGGGAGCAACGGCAATACATAGTCTAGGACGGGGCCGAGCAACCGGGACAAAGAGACGGGGAATGAAGAGGTGGGGAGCAGATGGCGAAGCCTCTTTCTTCGCGAGGATGGTAGGATGGGCCCGGTAACCCAGCCCCCAGCCAGCAGCCTGGATCCATCCTTCAGGGAGGGCTGAGAGTTATCGTGGATGGGGGTCTGGAGAGTCCTTGGCAGGGGCAACGGCGGAGCTCAGGCACAGCGGCGGCACTGCAGACATGGCCTGTGTGGCACACACATATGTAAGGTCCAGTGGGGCTTCTTGCGCAGGCCACGGGGACCAAAATGCCGAGGCGTGCCTCCATCGTGGGGGTAGCAGCATCGCGGGAGGAGCAGTCGAGGAGGCCTCGCATCAGACAGACCGGGCCAGACCAGCGGCGAGCCCTTGCACAGCCAAGGAAGCTTGGGGAAGAAGAAGAGAAGAAGCCTTGCTTCTGCATTCTTGAGCCGGGGCTGGCGCCTCCAAGTCGGGCCAACGTGCAAAAGGCTGTGGCGGCGCCAAAAGCCAAGAAAGCTGGGCATCAACGACGTCCCTTGCCCGTGGGTGTCGAGGACAGCGGCATCGAGATTTGTCGTCGTCGTCTTTGGAGCGGATACAGGCAAAGGGAAGCGTTGGCCGACGACGACTACTATCGTGAAGGAAGTCGACGAGGTTGGTCGTCTTTACGTAAGCCCCGATACTCGGGATTGAACGAGTACACCCAAGTCACGAAGAATGATGCTCCTCGCACTCTGAGTTGACCCAAGACTCGTCTTTGTCCAACATGATTTCTCCATCGCCATGATAAAAGGGGACGGGGTTCCAGAGGCGCCACTCATACTGTACAACAAAGAGGGAGACGGTAGACTTCCACGGCGTTAGATTTCCTCGTCGATGCAAAGCTGGCTGGGTCAATGAGATTTTTTCCTCCAAAAGAAAGAAGACAACGAATAAATCCTCAAGAATGAAGTGCCGCATCGCCCCGGACAATGGCCTTGTCCCTGCAGCACCGCTGGCTTCGTTAGTTTGCGCCGCGATCCTTGCGTGGAGGCCTGCGCCCGTGCATGGAATGCTGCCTGCCCCTGAGCCCAACCATAATTGCATCCCGCATCCAATGTATTCTTTTGACTCCATTTCTCTGCCTGTCCAAAGAGACAGGCGCTCGTCGAGACTGCTGGCGGACGAAGCGTTGCCCGCCTTTGCTCTAGAACCGAACGCCCTTACATCTGCTCTCCACCATGAGATGCCGTGATGCGCTCGCTCACTATTCATTGTATGCATGAATGTATTGGCTTGTATTAGGCCCCCAATCTTGACACCCATCACCGCCTCTAATCCCCAAGCCCCGCCCACTCCTCCTCGTCGCCCTCGCCCTTGCACTCACCACCCCCCTCCGCCTTCCGCCTCTTGCTCCCCTCGATCGCCCCTCGCCGGTTATTCTCCCTCTGCCTCTCGAACCCACTCTTGGACGTAATCTTGGCCTTGCTCCCGCTCCTCCGCGACTCGACACCCCTCTCCTTGAGCTTCTTCCGGTCTGCCTTTGCCACCTTGGGCAGCGCGTCCAGCAGCCATTTCTGCACCCCCGTCTCGCCCCCCGCCGCCTTGCCCGCCTGCCTCTCGCTGGCGGCAATGACGTTGGCCACCGTCTTAACAAACGGAATGTCCTCCTTGGTGTAGAATGTCACGGCCACGCCTCCCTCCCGGCCGGCCCGGCCCGTCCGGCCCGCTCGGTGGACGTAGCCCGCGCTGGAGCCGGGCACGTCGTAGTTGACGACTCCGTTGACACCGGCAAAGTCGACGCCGCGGGCCAGGACGTCCGTCGTGATGAGCACCCAAATCTCACCGGCGCGGAACTTGTGCATAATGGCCGCACGCGCCGAGTCGGGCAGGCCACTGTGCAGCGCGGCCACCCTCGACGCGCCCCCGGCTTCCAAGGGAATATCGTACTTGAGCTCCTCATGCAGCGCAGTAGCCCGGTCGATTGTTTGAGTAAACACCAAGAACGGGGGCCGCAGAGGCGGCCCCGAGTCATCGTTCGATGTGGGGTGAAGAAGCTGCCGTAACGCCAACAACTTGCCCTGCTCCGACGCCGTGTACGTCAGCTTGTGCACAATGTTTGGCACCGCCGTATCTTTGAGGCCGACGACTAGTCGGATCAGCGGCTTGGGTGCCATGTCTAGTGCTTCTGCTCGACATTTCAATTGCTCGACGACGAGGGACTCGATGTTTGACCCCATGGTGGCGGACCAACAGGAAACCCGGAGATCGGGGTTGTTGCAAGCCGTCCAGATGCCCACAGTCTGCTCGCGAAAGAGCGGATCGAGAAGGACATCGGCCTCGTCGAGCACCAGCTCACGGACACTCGCGAGGGCCTTGTGCGTGCCACTTGGCCCAGTAGTGAGCGACCTGAGCAGCAGGAGAGGCGTGGTGACCAATATGTCCGCCTTGGTCACCGCTCTCGCCTCCCCTTTGGCCTCCTTTTCATTCTCCGATTGCGACCCTTCAGCATTCTCGTCCACCTCATCCTCAGAACCGTCATCCGCAGGACCCTGCTGCCCGGCAGCAACCACCGTCATGCCCTTCCTCATGGCAACGACCTTGAGCCCGGTGCCCTGGCTCAGCTTACGAGCCTCATTGACGATCTGGTGTGCAAGCTCCCTGGTCGGCGCGACAACCACGGCCTCGAGCTCGTGGGCTCCCTGCAGCTTCTCTCGCGCTCTCCTCCGCATGATGCTGTTGATTGCTGGGATCAGGAAGCTGATAGTCTTGCCACTGCCGGTCGGGGCGACAGCCAGGAAGTCGACGCCGTCTTCCAGACCGCTCTCGCCAGCCAGCGCAACTTCGGGGCGGAGCAGCAACGGCAGGCTACCCAGTTGAACTTCGGTAGGCACTCGGAACCCTTGCGCGACGACGTTTTCAGAAACTCGACGGGAGATGCCGTAGGTGCTGCGAAGCTGGCCAAACGAGTCGAGCGGCTGGGGAAACAGCTGCTTCTTGTCGGCCTTGTTGGTCTCTTGAATTTCGGCGTGCTTCTTCTTCTTCTTCTTAGATTTCGACACCTTGTTCGGGTCCTCCGGCTTGGACATGAGGGTGAGCTTGAGACGGTGCGACCGCAGAAGCTGGCGACACTCGTCCTCGCTCAACTTGGTGGCCGGCCGCGCGACGGGACTCGGCGCTCGTGGCATCGTCGACGACTCCTCTCTGGGTGCTGCGACCTCGTTCTTGGGCGCAAAGAAGTCTACAGCGGGGAGTTCGGCGGGAGCGTTGGCCTGCGGCTCGTCGCCGTCTCGCTTCCTCTTGTGGCCCCGCACATGGTCGTGGAAAAGCTGAGGGTTCGTCTTGGTGCCTGCGGAAGGAAGCTTGAGCGACGCAATGTTGCCATGCCCGGCTCCCTTTCCCTTGGAGGACTTCTTGGTGCCCCGCGAAAGGACTTTGAGAATGTCCATGGCGAGCTTGATGTTGTGTGCTGCAAGAGAGATGTGGAGTTTGGGGGCCTTCTCTTTTTTTTTTGCGTACTAGTTAAAAGGCCACCCCGTCACGCTAAACGGCCACCCAAAAGTGGGTCAACTGTGGCTTGGTCGCCGCGCAGCGCCGATGCCGCAAAGGTGTGTGCGCGCATTCGCTGCCGGCATCGAGGTGCGCGCCAGAGGGCATGTTGAAGCCGCAATTGAAGCCGCAAAGTGAAGCTGGCCGTGATGCAAATTCAAGTACGTAGGGCCATGTTCTTGGGGTCGTAGAAAACACACTTCCGTCAATTCAAATGCAGCGTTAACGCCGGTAGCTATAGTAGACCCTCTGCACACAATTCCTGCTGTACAGACTCCTCCTCATCCACCTGCCGGTCCATCTCGTTAAAATCGGCTAAAGGGTCGTCTTCATCCTCTATATCCTCACCTCCTTGACGAATTGAGGGTATCGGCATTGGCTGCGTGGCACAGCGAATCGTGCCCTGCGTCTCGCCCGGGCCAGTAAGCTCATCGTCAGAGTCAGGCGTGCGGCGTACGGCACGCTGATACGCTCGTGGCATCGCTGTGCCAGGCTCGTACGAATCGCCATTGGCTTGAAGGTATTCCAACCCCCGTTTGGTCACATCAGCAGCGCTGCCGGCGGTGTTGACGGTAGCAGCAGCAGCTTTCCCTCCAGCCTTGCCCCCAGCCTTGCGCTTCTTACCCGTAGCCTTCGTCTTCGTACTTTGGAGAGCCGCCGGCGCTGTGGACGGCGGCGGCCTTGTGGCCTCGCTGCGTTCGTCGGATTCCGCGATATCGTGTGCTGACGGCTCTCGCGTGGCCGTTACGACCTCCTGCTGCCTCGAGGTTCAATGAGCCCTTGGGCCGGCCTTTCCGTGCATAGGAGTGGATCGTGAGGAGCATCGTTAGGGCTTGTGCTCTGCCATGCCAGAGCTCGTCAACGTCATTCATTTCGAAGGAACGGCGGCGGCGGCATTGGGCCGCTTGAAAATATCGTGACGGCAAGGAAGGCCAACCAAGACTTGACTTGAAGCCGCAGTGATGAAGAAGATCACAGCGGCCGGGCGGCGGCTTTTCTTGGTCGCTTGAAGCGGCATTCCTTGCCACAGCGCGGTATTCGCCCCCTATCTTCTGGAGCCCAAACTTTGCGGTATCGGACCTTGCGCGCGACCAAGCCACAATTGACCCACTTTTGGGTGGCCGTTTAGCGTGACGGGGTGGCCTTTTAACTAGTACCTTTTTTTGTCTCCCCTAGAAATTTCGCAGCGAAGCACCGTAGCCTTGCTGCAAGGCTGAAGCGGGGCGCCAGGTACCCGGTACTCCATGCCTCCAGCAGAAAGGACCTACGGAATGCGACAAGCTGTCGACCATGTTGTGCTGGAAATGACCTTTATGTGAGCGAACATCTCTTCTCATTGCCTTTCTATAAGCAGCGTGCCACGCTGCCTGGGTGCCGGGAACGCAGTCTCCCGTCTAGTCAAACGCCAAGCCCGTGCTCCTGTTCGCGCCGCAGCTGCCAATAGAGCGATCCGATGGTAAGGGCACCAAACAAGCATCCCTCATGTCGCCTCATCCGGCGCGCCCTCGTCCCGCCCCTCCCCGTAGAGAACCTCGCACACGCCCGCCAGCGGGATATCCATGACAGCATCGGTCCCCTCGTTCCAGACCTCTCTCCACCGGAGCCTCCCGCTGGCGTCGCGCTTGCGCTCCCGCTTGCCGCTGCCGCGGATCCGGCCCTTGGAGTCCACCACGGCCAGCTTGCCCGCGCCGTCGACAATCGTCTCCACGCTCGCCATGGGCAGCGTCAGCATCTCCGTGTTGTACGACGCCAGCGCCACGTAGATGTAGCACAGCGTCATGACGAGAAACGCCGGGATCGCGAGCGCCCACCACCGGTTCGGGTAGTAGTAGATGCCCAGGCCGTGCAGAAAGGGCGCCGGCAGGTACGCCCACAACAGCCACAGCAGAAACGTCAGGCTGCTGAAGAGGTACAGCACGAAGCCGTAGTACTCGTACGTCGGCACCTTGGGCGACGCCCGCGGCACCGGCGCCAGGTTGCTGCTGTTGTTGGCGGCGTTGTTGTGGTCGTCCTCCGAGGCATCCGGTGTCGTCGGCCGCGATGGCCGTAGCAGCGACGTCAGCGACGGCGACGGCGGCAGAGGCGTCGGCGGCCGGCCGTAGAAGGGAGGCGCAAAGTAGTTTTGCGACAGCGGCCGCGCCGGCCATTCGTGGCCCGACGAGTCCGACGACTGGTTGTCGGACACGTACTCGTCCTGCTCCGCGGACGAGACGGACATGGCGGGGGCGGCTTTCGTGACTCTCTCTGCGCGTGCCGGGCTGTTGGTGGTGAGATGGAGATGAGGATGAGCATGCGGTCGAGGTCAAGTAGGTACCAAGTACAGTGGACGGTACTATGCAACTGGTGTTGAAGTGGGAAATTGTTAGTGCTGTAAGTTAGCCCCCTGCTCTCTTCCATCCACGAACCTCAGTCTCACATGGGGAAAAGGCAACGTGCTGCCTCGTCGTACACATTACTGGTCTGTCCATCTATCTGTACACATACATGCCCGCGATATGTACGATTAACCACCGCAAGGAAGAAACGTCCCATCATGCCGCTCTATACACGCAAGGCTCATGTTCACGTCATGACTTATCATTCCATGCTTTCCATGCTCTTATCCATCAACCGGGCACCTGTACTCCCTTTCTCTCCCCGGCTCTCCGTTCTCCTGCCTCTCCTGCAATGCCTCCAGGCAGCTCTGGTGGTACATGTGACGACACGCCAGCACGACCAGGGGTCCAAGGGGCGGATCCTTGCCGGGGCCTCCCGCCTCCGGCTCTGCGGGCATGCTCGGCACGTGCGTGTCCCGGCTCTTGCCCTTGTCCTTGGCGTCGGGCTCGCCCGCACTGCTCTTGGCCCGCTCAGCGGCTCGCGTCTTCCGGTCTCTCTTGGCCGATTCCTCCATCGCCTGCCGGTCCTCCCAGGCCTCAAAGACGGCCCCGCCCGCGACTCCAGGCCCCCAGGCCCTCCGCCCGCAAGCCTCGCATGTGGACCCACGCGGCCGCCAGCCACGCTGCCGCAGCTCGACAGCTTGCTTGACGTTGACGAACAGGCTCCGCTCCAGGAGTCGGTTCGACAGCCGCAGGATGGACTCCTCGTATGCGTAGGCCGAAAAGATGGACGCCAGTACGCCACGCAAATCACCTAGGTTCGGCGACGAAGTGGCCGCCTGGGCGAGGAATGCCCTCAGTATTCGCAGAAAGGACAGATTCGACCCGGCGTTGGACAAAAGCGTGCTGCCTTGCTGCTCACGCGCCCGGCTAGACGTTGCGTTGAGCAACGAGGTAAACGTGTGCTGGACCAGCGATCGGAGGAGCGGCAAAAGCTTCTCATCTTCAAACCCCTCTTCGTCGGCAAGTCTTTGTACCGTCGGAGACAATCGTTTCGTGACTTGAACACACGCATCAATCAGACTTAACCAAAGCGTCTCGTCCACTGAGAGGTTGTCTGGCTTGGAATCTTGCTTCTTCTGGACAACGCTCGCTCTCTTCGATGTCTTCGTTTGCCCCTGGCACAGCCAAATGCCAACATAAACATATCTCTGCAAACTGCGGAGCAGCTCCTCTACTGATGCGCCAACATCCACGTCCTCGTTGCCGCCATCTGTACCGCTCAAGAGACCTTGCACTGCCGACTCAAGAGTAAACAGGTGCTTGATCAGCCGCTGAATTGCGTTACCGGCCTGGCCGTCCCGAGCCATGAGCACGACCGCGGCGTCCACAACACCGGTGGCTTCCATCGTCGGCAACAGATTCTCCAGCCGAAGGTCTGCAAACTGCACGGTGCCGACAAAGTCGGATACGCGCAGGGGGTCGAATTTGCACATGAGCTGAACGTAGCGCTCGATGAAATGCCGGTCGGGCGACTCGGCCTGATCGGGCGCCGGCTCCTTGGGCTCCAGCAAAGCCTGCAGGTACGCATACTGCAACGCCGGCTGGTCCTGCGCCGAGTCGATGACCTGGCGATGAACCGTCGCTGCTTGAGCCGCTAGAGTCGCCGCTGTCCTCTCTGGACTGAGGTCAAGCAAGTGCCTGGCATGCTCCTCAATCACCTGGTGCACGTCCCGCAGCTGGCGGGGGTCGAGACCGGCCTGGGGCCGCAGACAGTCTGATATGCAGTCAAACACGGCGTCTTGGTCATCGGGGTCTTCAAAATACGTGGCCACGAGCTTGCCGTACTGCTTTTCAACCTTGAATATGCGCTTCAGAATGCGATAGAACCCCGCTCTTTTAAAGAGCGGCACCAAAGTGGGCATGTCTGAAGGTTGGTAGACAGACAGGAGATATTCGGCGCTGAGCTGGGCGTCGTCCGCGAGATCCTCGCCCGGGTATGTGCAAAGATTGGCGAGGACCTTGGAAAGAGTCGACCCAGAGAAAAGCAGATACTGAGGGAACTTGGGCAAGTTCCGGGCAATGAACATGTCGAGATAGATGGTGTCCTCTGGCGCGAAATTGTCCGGGCTCATGACGTCCAGAAGGATTGTCAAGATGAATTGGCGATTGATGGTCAGGCCAAATATTTGCTCTTCGGGCATGTCCATGCGCGCCCCGCCGTTGACCTGCTTGTCGGGAGAATCGTTCAAGAAAGTGTCTTCGAACGCCTCGTTCAGCGCACTCAGGAAGCTGGGGGCGTCGAATTTGAGAATCAACCGGAGATACGGAAATGCTGGCTCGTCCTCGCCAGGTGGGCGCGTCAAGAACTCTCGGCCGCTGCCCCTCGGCCACTCGATGGTCTTGCCGGAGAAGAAGAACCAGTAGATCCCCGACTTGGCGGTGGCTGCAGCTTCCTCGTCCAGGGGTTCTCCGCTTGGATACACCCTCCCCGTCAGGATATAAGACAGGTATGGAAAGATCTTGAGCGCATTGACGCTGTAGTAGCCTTCTCCAGAATCCCCTGAGACGTGGTTACCGTTTGTCGTCAGCGGCACAAGCAGGCTCAGGAGGTCGATGACGGGACTGATGTAGTCGCCAAGAGCTTGGTTCCAGACGTAGGTCAGCGCATCGTAGAGGCCGTGCTGCTTGCAAAGAACCGTAATCTGGTCCAGGTCGAGAGTCGCCGTCTGCATGTGGCAGATCATCTCCTCCAGCCTGCTTTCCCAGCCTCGCGCAGCGTACTGGTTGACCATGTCCTTGACCACGACAGGCGGCACAACCGTAATTGTCTCCTCCAAGATATAAGGTTCCAGCGTCTCGTGAAAGATGGCCTCGACATTGGCGGATTCATACCATTCGTATAGGTCCGCGAATAAGTAGTCCGTGGTTCCTATTGCCTGGCACGCGGTAAAGCAGACCTCGGCCAGCTGTCGTATATGATCGTCATCAGCCTCCTCGCTCTTCTTCTGTCGCTGGCCGAAGGCGTACTTGAGTGAGGCCGTGATGATCTCCATGATCTTGTCTTGGACCATGGCGTGCCGCAGCTGCGTGTCCTCGGGCAGCCCTATTGTGAGCTTGTCGGCGTCGCCTGTGTAGTAGGAGGTCGCCAAACGGATGGCTTCAATGTAATCACCTTGCTCCATCATGGCAATCAGACGATCCGCCCAATTCGACAGCGCGCCGATGGAGACTTCGCTGAAGCTCAGTAGGAAGATTCTCCCCTTGTAGGACTTGAAGCTCATGTAGAACGCATCGGCTACAACGCCGTGCATTGACTGGTCGTCTTCGTCCAGCTGCTCAACCAGAGCATGAAGCTGCTTCGAGAAGAGGTCCGCGTGGTAGATGTGCTTCGGGAGCAAGTCAAAGGCCTCTGTCATTCGCATGCTCCTATCCTCCAGCACAATCAGCCTTTGGGATATGGTGAGCAGGGCCAGAACAGAGCGGCTCAGCCATTGCACGGCGACAATAGCCTCTTCGCACTTCCACCTGCTGCGGGCCTTGAACTTTAACGTTGAAGGCTGATCCCTGTCTCCGCTGGGGATCTCGTTCACGTCCAGCACCGTCAACACGTTTGACCAGCAATAGACGAGTTTGACTTTGGAAATGTCGCTCCCGGAGGCGGGATCGGGGGCCTTGAGCCTGACGGCCGGGAACCAGGCGAGGCAGCCCGTCATGGCACTATGGGCCGGGACATCCTTAGGCCGGGCTGACTTGTGTTGCGTCTGGGCCACGGGCGTCGTCGACACAATGACCAGCAGGTACGGAGTGAGCATGGCCGTCAAGCCCATGGTGTCGGTCGTCCGCTCGACGTTTCCAAGCGGCAGGGGCGCAAAGGCGAGGACGGTGCTTGGCTTGAGCGGCTTTCCGGCGGGAATCGGCGCGTTCGGATAGCGGCCCAGGATCCGAGTCGTCCTGACGGTCCTGCCAAGCGCACCTGCGCCCCGCGTGGCAAGGTGCGAGAAGGCCATGCCTCGATCGTCGGCCGACACAAGGGCCGTGTGGCGGGTTCCCAAGAAGCCCAGATGGACGACGGACACGTTGGCAACGTGCCCGTCGGCCGTACGGTTCTGCTCCTGAGCGCCATCCAGGTGCGGAATTGTGAGAAAGGGCCGGGCCGCCCTAGACGTGTCCCAGGTAAAGATGCTACCGTTCGCGTGGCCCCCTGCAATGGTCGTGTGGTCGGCGGAGATGGCAATCGAGGTTACGGGACCAGATTCCACAGCTAGAGGAGGTCAACTCGCCAGGACAGCAGGAGAAGCGGGGGCGTCAGCGAATGCTCACCTTTGGTCCCCTGCCCGATGATCATCCTGAGATTCTGGCTGTAATCGAACATTAATATTATTCCTTTTGAAGTTCCGAGCACAATCGAAGCCGAGACAGCAAGACACGTGGGCGAGCCAAAGTTGCGGCGGCCCAGCTCCGAAAAGGCATTCCCGTTGAGCTTCCTGAGCCGCGTCCATCGGACGACTTCCCAGGGCGGGGCGGGGGTGTCGCCGTCGGCCTGGTCGACTGGGAAGTTTGTGGCGAGGGACGCGTTGCGGCTATGGCTAGAGAGAAGGGCGGGCGACGAGGCGCGCGGGCTGTTGGAGGCGGACGACGAGATGCGCGACTGGAAGCGTCGGTCAAAGGGGCGAAAGGATGGCGTGGGGCTGCTCAGGCCAGGACGGGTGGCCATGGAGGGGAGGACGCTGCTGCTGGGGGAGGACATGAAGGATCCCTGGTTTCCGTGTGAGCTTTGGACCGCGGGGGACAAAGAGGCTCGTCTTACTTGAATGGACGGGGAGTTGCCCTGACCCGAAGCCAGCGAGTCGACCGGGCTCCCGGCTCTCCTGGGCACGGCGTCCATCAGGCTTGTGTCCATGGAGCTCACGTCGGAGCCATCCCGCGGCGGCTGGCTCACGAGCTCGGTGCCCGTCGCGTCGCCCTGCTGCTCCTCCTCCTCCAACTGGGGCACGTCGGCGTCGACGTCGGCGCGCGTCTCGTCATGGCCGAGGCCCTTGTCCCCCGCCGGAGACGTGTCTTGTGAATCAGACATTGCGTTTCGGCTTCCATCACATCGTCCACCGTGGGCCGCGCTATCGTCGTGAGCCCAGCCCGTGCGGTGAAAAGGAGAGCGGCGAGGGGCGAGCTGGTGCTCGTCGACGAGTCGTAAGAGCCGTCACCAAGAACGGGGCGTTGACAGAGTCAAGACTCGCTGCCCCAGATGGCTCGGACGGCGGCGATGAGCTGCCCTTGGGCCCTTGGTGGCCGGCTTGGTGTAGAAATCGGCACTGGTACGGCAGCTGCTGGCAGCCTTGAGCTGGCGGCGCAGCTCGTCAGGGTTGGGGTTTTACGTGGCTGGAGCGTCTGATGCTTTCGCTTTGTTGAGATGGCAGAGCTCCTTGGAGCCGGGGATTTCCCGTTCATTCCAGCTCCAGTCCCCCCACAGTGTCACTGCCATGACTTTCCCTTTGCCCCGTATTTTTGTTTGCAAGGCACGAGCCTCGAGGTAAACCACGTATTGATCTTGATACTTTCTTATTTCTTATGTATCCGCACTTGCTAGGCTGCTTCATGGGCGGCTCGGGTTGCTTTGCTCATAGTTTGAAAGCATGCGTAGACCGTAGACATCTATCTACCCTCTTGTGATGCCCGCTCAAGCTCTCCTTCAAACTCCAGGTTCGCCTGTGATCTATAAAGCTCCTCAACGTCAGCGTCCTAATAAATCCTGGGATATGAAATGCTACTTTTCCTCCATTTGGCCCCGGTCTTCCCTTGTCCTCCCGTCCAAGCAACGGATGAAGATCCACCAACAGTGGTCGCCCACCAATCACCAATCAGACGCCCGCAGCGCCATTCACCTCACGGCCAAACCCACCGCACTCGCTCCCTCTCCCGTTCACAACAAAAACACCCATCGCCAATACCGAGGAAAACCAACGCTCGAGTCGAAAAGGAACCGGCCCGTTCACGCAGGCCCGCGATGCCTTCCATAGGCCCCCAGCTTCCCCCGCACCTCTCTAAACGGAAGCGCACCCCCCAAGACGAAGACGACGGCGACAGCGACAGCGACGATGCGCTCACCCCTTCTCTCCCGCCCCCGCCGTCGAGCAAGCTCCCCCGGCGCGAGGGCGCACCGCCCATCGCCAACGAGGACGAGGTAGATCTCGAGGATGATGCAGACGACTCCGGCCCGTCTTTACCACAGGCACCCGCGCCAGCGCCCGCCAGACCCGCCATGGGCCCTTCTCTCCCGGCCCCCGCCGCCAACGACGACGCAATCGACCTGTCCGACTCCGAACCCGTCACGAAGGGGCCAGCACCCCAACCGCAGCCACCGCCGCAAAAACAACAACAACAACAACAACAACAACAACAATCATCTGCTGCCTCCGCCGACTCCGACTCCGACTCCGACTCCGACTCCTACGGCCCCTCCCTCCCCTCCGTCTCCGCCCAATGCGCCCCCGTCATCGGCCCCTCTCTCCCAACCACACACGATGCCGCTCCCAAGCGCGACTCGTGGATGCTGGCCCCCCCTCCCGCCGGCGGCGGCTACAGCGAGCGCGACCCGACCCGCATCCGCGCCCGCAAGTTCGCCTCCAAGCCCTCGGGCGCCGCCCCCGCCCCCAACGCTCCCTCTGTCTGGACCGAGACCCCCGAGGAGAAGCTCCGCCGCCTCCAGAACGCCGTCCTCGGCCGCTCCGACCCCGAGGCCGATGTCGCCGCCAACAACAAGTCGTCCGGCGCCAAGTCGGAGCGCGACGTGGAGCGCGACCGCAAGATTGCTGCCAGCATCGAGGCCCAGCGCGGCTCCAGTCTCTACGACGAGCACAGTCAGAAGCGCAGGAACGGCGGTGTGCAAAAGGGCGACGAGGACGACGATCCCAGCCAGAGGCCCTTTGACAGAGACAAGGACTTGGCTCTGGGCGGCAAGATTGGCACGGCAAAAAGGAGGGAACTGGTCACAAGGGCGGCCAATTTCGGGGGCAGGTTTCAAAAGGGCTCGTACTTGTAACCAAACGACAGTCACGGGCATCGCCTACCGTCCAAACGAGACTGAGCCAGAGTCGACTTCACGCTCGGGAGTAGTGCATGTTATGGCAGGGCCGGAATCTCCGGCCGTTGGATATGATATCATTGAACAAAGTAAAGGAAAAGGAGAGCAATACATGAAGCCATATGACCTCCCAACTCCGCCGCTCCAAAATTCAGAGACCATATCATTCCCAAGTCGGTCAAGAAAAAAAAGGGCTGCCAAAGACGTTCCAGCCCTCATGATGCAGATAAAGGCCGAGGAAGGGCGAAGTCCTCCGCATTGCCCAGGAACCTGCCCGCATCCGCGACAGGATACGACGCAGTCCCTTTTGATGCGGTTCACAACGCCCAAAATATCGATAAGGTGTGGTGAGCGGGCGTCACGCATGCCACACCAGGTTGCACATGTACATAAGTTGGCTCTTTCACCCACGTTCACTGACCCGCCCCTAGCCCGCGGAGCAGGAGTCAACAGCGCTGATCGCGGGGTGGAGGCCGAGTGCGGTTCAAGGATCAGGTAGCCTTGATCAGCTGCACGACCAGGATATTGTTGCCTGGACAAGTCTGAAGATGCCAGCTGTAGATGTTCTATTGAGCGGTAGCCCGTGTCGTGGCCGGAGCTGCAGACGGCTGGTTCCCGGCTTCGAGTTGCGACGGCGTGACTGGTCCGCTTCCTACCGTGTCCGAAGTGCCGTGGCCCGCGGGCTGCTCGTTGTTCCTTCGACCGAACCGTAGCGCCTGTCGAACTGAGGAGAGTAGACCTCCGCCGGATGACTGCGTAGCGGTGGTGGGCACGGCGTGATGGCGGGGCGAAGGTGTCTCCAAGCTGCCCTGCCTGCCCCGGCCGATATTTCGAGTCCGGTTGGCCCGGCGCGGCCTGGGATTCGAGTGTACTGGGTGGCGGGTAGCCTCGGGGTTGCTGGTCCGAAGCCAGGCCGCTCGCAAGCGACTAGGGAGATTGACGCGGGAGTTGCGGTGACTGTCGACGGTGGCGCTATTGGTGGTGGTAGTGGTCTCGCCTTCGGGGTTGGGCCGCGGCTTAGGCGTGTAGTAGTCTGCCTTGCATAGGGGGCAGCAGGCACGGCGGCTTGTGAGCCAGGGATCAAGGCAGACGGCGTGGAAGGCATGGCCGCACGTGAGTCCTCGGACATCATCGTCGTCTTCGAGGCTGTCGATGCAAATGGCGCAGGTATCGCCGGGGGTGCCGAGGCATTCGGGAGGGAGAGCAGCGTCAATGTGCTCGTCATCGACATCCTCGTCGCTGGGCACGCGCTGCAGTCCCTGTGCCGCTGCCTCCCGGGAGACGGACGTCTGGCCGGCGTTGGCAGCTTGTTCCGAATTGGGTTTCGTTTTTTCGGCATCTCCGTTTGCTTCGGCTTCAGCGGTTTCTGGCTGCGCAGGATTGGCGGTTGCGTCGGATGGTCGGGGGCCATCAACGGAGGGCGGTTCCTTTGCTGAGATGACGGGGACAATGCCGTCGGCTTCGCGTATGCTATTGGCCTGGCTGGCCGAGACGGTAACGCCACCGGCAGTCGGGAGACCCTCTCTGGCACGCTCCAAGACCCAGGTCTTGTACTTCATCATTGGGAACTTGTCATTGACTTCGTCCATGGACATGAGCTTCTTTTCGCGGCGGCGTCGGTGGGGGCGCTGCACGGTTTCAAGGGTGATGGGCTCTCCATCTTCGTTATTCATCCTGGCACGGTTGCGGGCATTGTACCGGAAGCAATATTTGACGCCCACAATGATCCTGTGTCAGGCCCGTCAGCACTCTGGCGGCAAGGCGAAGGGTATGGGTTCTCGTCCGAGCTCGCAACGACTTGATCGTCGGGCGACGAGACCTGCCCAAGTGCAAAATCTTACCAGAGGTTCGTGAAGACGACGCCGAAGCCTAGAGCGACGAAGAAGAGGAGGGGAGAGCTGGAGCCGCCGCTCTGATTGTTGGAGTTGTCGTTGCTCTGGTTCGTGCCGGCTGGACTCGAGGATTGGGGGCTCTGCACGCTCGTCGACGTTGTTGAGGGAGAGGGGGATTCGGACAGCGACCCGGTAGCCCTCGCAACAAGTATGGCGGCCTCGCCCAGAGTCCGACTGATGGCAGTCATTGCGGGTGCGTCGGAGAGGAGCCGTCGAGCCCGGAGGCTGTCACAATTGACGCAGTGTCTAGTTCAGGGCGAGCATGGATCGCGCGAATGGAAAGGCGTTCGTGAAGGGCGGGTAAAAGAAGGAGCAGGAAGCGACGTGGCGTTGCAGGAGGTCGTCGGCCGACCAAGGGTTATGCCTGCATCCACGATTGCGCGGTAAACCGACTCGACGGCGGACAAAGGCGGCGTTCGAGCATGCAAGCAATCGAATCGTCGGGTGCGAGAGGCAGCGGGCGATGGAAGATGCGAGCGAGTATCGAAGATTCGGCGGCAGCGTTTCGTGACGAGTGGGAGAGGCGGCGGTGATGGAAGACGAAACGAGCGGGCTGATACGGGGAGGGTGGTAGTGCGAGGAACGGGGATCGTGGAGTGCAGGAAGAGCGGGTAATATGAGGAGGCGGACGCTGACACAGCGCAACCCCGAAAAGGGAGAGGGTGGCTTGTGCAGGCAAGGTAGGGCACCTGGTGGAAATCCAAGGTACAGTACAGGCGCAAAGTACCGTCCTATCGCTTTCACGGGCCGGCCGGTGGCTTGACTTGTCTCTTTTGGTGGTCAGGAAGCAGAAGGCAGGTATTACTGCGGTTGGGGGTTGGGTGCAGAGGTACCTTGTACCTGCCCCTAGTGCTTGCAACGCGAAGTGCTGCAGAGCTAGCGGCACCGTGCCAAGGGACTGCTGCCACAGCCCCCCTCGGGACACGGCAAATGTACGGAGTACGGGCGTGCGGACAGATTAATGGGCGCAACCTCATCAGCTTCTCGGAAGACGCGCTCTCCGCAGGGGACTTGGGCATGGTACTGTACCACGAGACAACGGAGCTTACAGTACATGTACCCCTGCTTGGCCGGACAAAGGAGGGGGGGTTGCTACCTGCTGGCGGCGGCGCCGGGCTCCGTGCCTCGCGTGGGCGTAAATGGCGCAGAGGTCGGGGTCGGGGTACAGGCCCTCTGCAGCAAGTCTCGGAGGCTCTGGAAGTACTAGTAAGTAAGTTAAGGTACCTAGGTAGTACTCGTAGCTGGCTGCCGAGCAGGCTGGGACACTTGAAGTCACCCCCCTGCAGGTCCGTACAATTATTGATTTCTGGCACAGTCCAGGATGTACCAGTATCAACCGCAGTACGGAACAAGTTGCTTGCAGTTGGTGGTGCAGGCCGTGAAAATGGCGGGCCGCACTCGTTCAACGCGCGTCGGGTTACCTCCCCATCCGACGCCTGTACCGTGCAGAGCGCCGACGCACAGTAAGAGACATGCAGCCTTTGATTCGAGACATCAGCTCGGCGGGTGTCTTTGGTGAGAACGGCCCAGGGGCGGCCGATTAGGGGCGCCATCGGGGCGCCAGCTGCCCTGCCCGCCAGAAGGTGTCGCCGCGCCTAGGCTCGCAGCTCGGCACCAGCGGGAAAGGTTGCACGCTTGGACGACGATAGATTCCAAACTAGCTTACGTGGACGTACAGTGTCAGGGTAGGAAAAGATGGGGGAGACCTCGGCTCTCTGTACGTAATCCGGAGCCTCGGGCGAGCAGAGGATGGGCGGCGGAGCAGGACGGACCAGCAAGTCTCGGAGGCTTTGGGAGAGACAGGAAAAAAGAATCAAGCATGGGCCGATCAGGACGGGGACAGACAGACAGGGGGACAGGAGGGGTCGAGGTTCAGCGCGTGTCTCGCGGCAGTCCAATGCAGCAGCACGAGATGACGAGAAGCCGTCCCGAACACGGTTGTGCGCGAAAACGGCTGCTTGACGTGGGCCGCAGGCGGACAACAATGCCTGGCGACAAGAAGACGTGAGACTGTTGCAGCTCTGGAACAAGCCGCAGCGCCTCAGCCGCCGTCTGGTTGGTGCTGGCGCGGCCGTGCGTCGAAGTGCGTCGAAGGCACTGGAGAGTCAATCGTCCAGTGCCTTTGGCGGCGTTTCTCATCAGATGTCAGACGTGTACAGTACGTACTCCGTACTGGAGAGCTACCTACCTTACTAGTAATAATTACCTACTGTACCTAAAAATAAGAGGTGCCGAATGACCAGTGCTTCTTTTCTTTTGGCGCTCCCTGTCGCCACGATGATGGGGTGACCATACTCCGTAGTAACTAACCATGTCGCACGTGGTAATTAGAATCTGTTCAGCGCTGAAAAAAATGGCATCGTGGTCGGTCCCGGAGGCCACTCGGTCCTTGTCGCGGGAATCTCGGCGAGCCGTCTCCGCTCTCGGGTGGCGGGTGACTGCCTACCTGATGCAGCCTAGGCGGATGCGTCGGTTGAGCCCGCCGCTTTCTCGGCTTCCCTACATGACGATCCTTTTCTTCGTCGTTGACGGCTTGGGTTGCATGCATGCACGCATTCGCGCATGTCTGCATTTGCAAATACTGCACGGAGTGATTACATACAGTACTTGCAGAACATGCAGAACATGAACGAGTCCCCTGTTTGCAAAGACGTCATGATGGCATCGAGACTCGGGCCACCAACAGAGCCGGCTCGAGTCACGGAGACGACGGCACGACCACGGCACTGCCCAGCTCGGGGCTAGTGCATTGGGTGGTTTGGGGATCCCGACTCTTCTGAAACGCCTCTGAGGATGGCCGCCAGTGTGTTTGCCCCTGTAACAGACGCTGCTGCGCGCCTGCGTGGCGAACCTCGGCCTTCTACACAGACAGATGCTCTGTTCAGGGTCGTCGTCTCCACTCGTTTGCTCTTGTACCTATGGTACGGAATACATCTTTTGTGATTTCTCATCGTAATAGCAGACCCCCACTCCCCTCGGTTCTTCTGATCGCAGCGTCATCGTCCATGCCACTAAGTTACTCAAGCATCACAAACGGAAGCGCACCTTTCACCGAGACGAGAATGAGACGGGGCATTAAACAGGTGCGCCCGAGACATGCGAGTCTGAGTCCTCTGGTTTGCGACATCTGTATGGATCCGTCAAACAGCACAGTTCAAATAGAAGCCACCCACCAACGAGGGCAGTCCAACGGGCCGGGACTGCGGCACAATCGCCCTATTGTTTCCCGGCGCCCGCCGAACGGGATGCCGGGGTTCCGAGCACCCCTCCATCGACACACAGACAGTCTAACTTCTGTTAACTTCTGTACTAAAAAGTATGTGCGTGCGTTTTCCAGGAAAGACGGCACCGTCTGCCGACGACGGGGCGGGGGAGACGTGCATGTACATGCATACTGTACATACTTGCTTTGATGCTTAAGCAGTCGCTTGTCCAACGTCCAAGAAGTCGGGCGCACAATTACGTAGCTGTCGAGAAAGGTGACTGGATAGGGCCGCTGTGGTAGGATATCAGTGGCAGTCACCACCCTCTTGTCTGCAGTCTAAGCCTCGCTGCATGACGTGGGGAGAGAAACGAACATGCGACCTCTCACAATAAATCACCTTATTCTCTCCTGTCCTGCCTGTCCAACCTTTTCAAAGTCTGCACGACGCTGCCGATCTCTGCCTGCAGCGGTGCAATGTACAGTAATTGCAGTACAGTACAGTACAGTACGCGCGGGATATACATTGCAGTGCATTGCAGTGCAGTGCAGTGCAATGCAGCCAGTCGATGCCGCGGGGTATAACAATACCTTAGTACTTAGGTAGTAGGTAGGCAATGAATGATGAATGGTGCAGCGACATGTTATGGGCTAAGCATGTACTATACGGCCTACTGTAGAGTAACATACGAGCCGACGACGACGACGACGACGACGAGAAGAAAAAAGGTGGGGGGGGAGATCGCGTGACGTGACGCGGGGCGAGGCGGGGAATCGAGCCTTTCGATATTCTCCTTCTCGTCACGTCGTTCATTGGTCGAGCCCGCTGACCGTAGTAGCATCGCCAATCCAGCCGAAACCCAACCTTGCCTACTGCCACCACAAACTACACAGGCCCGGGCTCACAAAGCCAAGAGAAACAAGCAGCGAGGCGGCAGACGGAGAGGCAGGGGGTCCGCACCGGAGCCATGGCGCCCACACAGCTCCCCGACTCGGGCAACCCTCTGTACGTCGTCTCTCCTCCGCCCACGACGCCCTCGCCGCCCGCCGCGTGAAACATGCGATATCCGGGCTGACCCTCGAACCGGCAGCGTCTTCTTCGAAATGACCCTCGGCGGTACGTCTACCCTCGTCTCCCCCCCTCCCCTCTTCATTCACACATGCTGACCCCCCCCCCCCTGCAGGCGAATCGCTGGGCCGCATCACCTTTGAGCTCTTCAGCGACGTCGTCCCCAAGACGGCCGACAACTTCCGCCAATTCTGCACCGGCGAGTCCAAGGACCCCGCCGGCCGGCCCCAGGGCTACAAGGGCTCCAAGTTTCACCGCATCGTGAGTCCCTCGTCCCGTCTCTCTCGAGCAAGGCGGCGCTGACTGACGGCTTTGCTTGCCTCGTGACAGATCCCCAACTTCATGTGCCAGGGAGGCGATTTCCTCAACGGCGACGGCTCTGGATCAACCTGCATCTGGGGCTTCAAGTCCTTCGAGGACGAAAACTTTACTCGCAAGCACGACCAGCCCGGTCTGCTGTCCATGGCGGTGAGATGCGTCCCTCCCAAGCAAAGCCCCCCTTTATCCCTCGCGCCTCAAGGAGAGGGTGACGCGGACAGGCTGCCACTGACATGCCCTCGCCCGCAACAGAACGCCGGCCCCAACACAAACGGCTCCCAGTTCTTCATCACCACCGTGCCCACCCCCTTCCTCGACGGCAAGCACGTCGTCTTTGGCAAGGTCGTCGACGGCATGGACGTGGTCAAGAAGATGGAGGCCACCAGGACCGGCTACAAGGGCAAGGACGTGCCCAACCTCGACGTCGTGATAGTCCAGTGCGGTGAGATGTAGGAGCGCCATGCGGCGACGTTTTTGACAGCAATGAAACGTTTACGTTGCGGTTACCTACATTTCCTTTCAAGGACCGCGTCTTGTAACTGCGTGTACTCTATTCGTGGGTATAGATATATACGTTTGTGTATATGTATGTTGTGTGTCTGTCCATTCAGTCGTAACGGGCTACGTCAGGCGATAGCACAACACAAGGCCTCGTGGGACCACACATTGCGTAACGACAGGCACCACGTTTCAAAATGCAATCAATCAACAATGTGGGTGGTCCTCGCAGACCACCCCTTCCCATCTTGAAAGGAAGCCTGCTGGTGCCGGGCACCCCAGTTCTTGAGTCTCAAAAGTCTTGATTCTTATTCTCCAGCTCGGTCACACCGGTGCTGGCCAGGGACAGACAAGGCCCGTCTGGCGTCGGCACATGGCTCTCCCCCATCTCCCCCTTGCCCGACCCGACTGAGCAAACTCGCCCTTGTCCTTTCGCTCTCTCGATCTCATAACTCGTCTCGTCTCCGTCACGCCGCACAGCCCGCGTGGGCACATGACCGGGGGGTGGGAATCGAAGATCAACCTGCGTGAAAAAGCAACCAATTTCGTGACGAATCGTGCCACAGAAAAAGTGTCGAAAAAGAAGTTGCCGCGTCTTGTTTTCCAGGCGCGCGTAAAAAGTAACAAGAAAAAGAAGAGGGCATCGAAGATAACGAGAAATATGTACCAACGAAACGAAGGATCCGTGGAAATTGTCCACATATCTACCTGACGAGAGAGCGAGACTCACTCCTAGCAAGTCCTCTCTCCCTCCCCTCGTCCCACAGGTTTGCCTCTCCAGGGCTTCCTGCCAGACTTAGTTCCGCCGAACCGGCTTGGACGGCTTGGGCCCCGCCGCGTTGTCGTCGCGTTTCTTGGACGGGGTGATGGCGGTGCCGACCGGGATGCGAGCCTGCCTGGTCCGAGTGGCCAGGGTGGTCGAGGGCGCGCGGGCGCGCTTAGCCCTGCGGTGGGGAGAGTCGGTCACGTAGACGGTCTGCACCACGGTTGTGGGCGGAACGGTGACGGTCTCGGTGACAATGGCCTTGGAGGGCTTGATGGCGCCGGCTGGCGGCGCAGGGACGCATGTGTTGCCAGGCGTGGGCGTATCTATGCTCGACCCGGGAAGAGACTGAGGCCCAGGCGCGGCCGCCTTGGACTCGGCAGGGGCTGCTGGGTTCGTGGGAGCGGGAGGCGCAGGGGCACCCGAAGCCGGGGGAGCAGCCGGCGCTGAAGGGGCACCGGGGGCAGGCGAGGCCGGGGAAGCAGCCGGAGCCGAAGGGGCACCGGCGGCAGGCGAAGCCGGGGAAGCAGCCGGCGCCGAAGGGGCACCGGCGGCGGGCGGAGCCGGGGAAGCAGCCGGCGCCGAAGGAGCACCGGGGGCAGGCGAAGCCGGGGGAGCGGCCGGCGCCGAAGGGGCACTGGGAGCAGGCGAAGGCTTCACCGCGCCATCGCTGCCGCCGCCACCACTACCACCACCAAGGCTGTCGACGGGGACGTCAAAGCTATTGACCATCTGCGATTTGATACCTTGGCTGTAAATGTCCTGCTTGTTGACCCAGGCGGCCTCGCCACCGCCCTCCTTGGCGATGACGCCTGGGAGGCTGTCGATGATCTTGATGTCAATGACGCTCGAGTAGCTCTCGTTGACGACGATGGCGTCCGGGCCCCAGCCGTTGGGGACCTTGTCGCCGCGCTTGAAAGAGCCGCCCCAGGGGAACTGGCCCTTCTTGGTGCCTTCCATGTCCACCTTTTCCGGGTTGAGCGTGGGCCAGTCCCAGTACCAGTAGACGGTGTAGACGGAGCCGGGCTTGGCGTCGTCAGGGATGGTAATGGCCGACTGGCACTTGAGTTCCTTCTCCACCTTTGCGCCGTCGGCGGCCAGCTTGGAGGCGCGCTCCTGGGCCATGGCCTGCTTGTTGTCCTGGAAGCACTGGCCGTCGTCGTAGTTGCGCGTGGCCAGGAGGCGTCCGCGCTTGTCGCCTCCGCTGCCGTCCTGGTTCCAGAGGAGGTGGACGTCGAACAGCTTCTCCTGCTCCTTGGGCTGGGTGGTCCCGTAGAGGTAGACGGTGCCGCGGTTCAGGGGCTTGTTGGCCTGGGCCTGGGGCAGGGTGACGTGGCCGTTTTCGAGATGGCGAATGGCCACCTTGGAGCCCGGGGTGGCCAGGAGGAGCGGGTGCTTGGGGTTGGCCTCGAAGGGATACTTGTTGAGCACCTCGTCGCCCTTGTAGACGCCGCCCTCGGGGATCTGGTGCTGGGCCACCTTGTCGTTGAAGCCCGGGTCAGTTCGGGGAACGTAGCCGCGCGGGAAGCCCTCGGTGCCAATGTAGGTGCCATTCGGGGCGACGACGAAGGCCGACTCGATCCACGAGTGAGCCATGGCGGTCGACGCGGCCAAGGCCAGCAGCGCGGCGAGGCCGGCTCGCGAGGAGGCCGCGTTCTTCATGGTCGATGCGCGTGCTGGAGTTTTGAGGCTGCTTTGGGCAAAAGTTTTAGAGGGCAACCCCGAAACAGCTTCTCGACACGATATCCCAATGCAGTGCTTTCGGCAAGAAACAGATTGAAGAGAAATGATAATGATGGGAAGAAAAGATGGTGTCTCACCAGGAGAAGAAGATGGCAAACGAAATGTTGCAGAAGGTGAGAAAAGAAGATGAAGAAGAACAGGAGTGAGAACGGAAAGGCAGAGAGAAAATGGGGGCCTCGAGGACAACAATAGGCTTTTAAAGACGGTGTTGAGTGCAGAGCAGGCGAAAGGGCAGCTCCGTCGTTCCAGGCTGGCGGAGAAGGGCAAGGGGAAGGAAAAAGGCGGCGCAAGTGGTGAGGCTGGTTTTCAATGCATTTGTTTGAGGGGTGTGTTGCTGTTCAGCGCGCGATAACCATCTTTCAGAAAGGGCACGTGGAGACTCCGTTGTCGTGAACAGCGCGCGACGTCACCGGGCCAGCCGTCAAACGTCGAGTGCCTGGCGGCCTGAGGCGTCTCTTTTTTCCCCTTGCGTGATGGCCTTGCAAGGCCGCCCTTTTTTGTTTTTCTGCTCCTTTGAGAGGCGTGCGATTTTTGTCTGAACAGGCTGCCTTTGGGCCGCCTTTTTGCTGTACGCAGCCCACACGCGCGCGCGCACACAAAGAAGGCCGAGTACGTCAGGCAAGAGAATGGAAAAGAAGACGTCTTTGCAGAGAGCGACACTAGCAGGATCGCCGAGCCAGGTAGATGCTGTGCAAGCGGACAGCAGTCGAGTCGACGCGGAGGGAAAGGCTGGGCTTGCGTCAGGGAGGCGGCATGGTCCGTGGCCCTTTTTCTCCGAGTCACTGACGATGGCAACTACAAGGTCAGATGGAAAAGGGGAGCGTAAAGAGGTGAGAAGAGGAGAGGCGGCCAGGACGCTGTTTCCAGGGCTGCCTCGTCGAGGGCGGCATCGGCTTATTGATAGGCACGAGCGGGGGACCAGAGGAACTGGCATCGGGCCGGGTCGAGGGGCCCTGGGCTGGCCGGCCTCTTGCGTTACCCCCATGTCCGGTGGCCCGACGTCCAGACGGCCTCACGACATGAGGCATGTATGGCGGCAAGGAGACACCAGCCATGGCGGCCACTCCGGGGGGGGAGGGGGGGACCTTGTGTCATGTATGTACAGTAGGGAGGGACAGTGGGGGACAGTAGGGGACAGTAGGGGACAGTAGGGGACAGTAGGGAGGGACGTATGGCCGGGCCTGAGCGGCAGCATCATGGCGAGCGGCGTCGTCCTGGGGAGCGAGTGGTGAGGCCCGAGGCGGCGGCGCATGCAAGAAAGCACTGGACGAGGTTGACGGAAGGTTGGGGCATCGTCGTCCCATGTCGAGCCCCACGTTTCGAAACAGGCAAAGGAGGGCCACTAAAACAGCCGTTCCTGCGGCGGCGGCTGCTGGTGCGCGCCGAGGCCAAGTATCCCTGCAGGCGAGTTCGCGTGCGCAGATACTTCAGCCTAGTCTGAGCTTTGTAATCCCGGGCCCACGAGGGCTTTAGCGCCTCGGCATTCGGAGTACGGAGTATAGTACTCTGTAGGTACCTACCTTACCTAGGTAGGTACCGTAAGTTCAGTTACCTGCCAGTTACGTACGCACCCTTGGTTTACGGCCGGGTCAAAGTCGAAGGGAAAAAATCTCCGATGGAAAGGAACTGACTGGGCATTATACAATCGGCGAGGCCAGACAGAGGATGCAGTCTGCTCAATCTTGTGTGTGTCTTTTCCGGCGAAGGGCACGGGATACGGTGCACGCGTCATGGGACCAAGTACCTGCCTACTAAGTACTTACCCAGGTAGGTAGGTAACTGGTAATTAGTATTGTAAGTAAAGTGGCTAGCCGCTAGGGGCTGCTGCTGCTGCTGCCGCTGCGGTTGCCGCTGCGGCTCTCTTCCAACCTCGACGTTTTCAAGTTGCTGCATCATCAACCGGGGCCCTTGATAGGCTGTTAAGCGCCGGCTGCAACAGTCGCAAGCTCAGCGGCCCCGACTGGCTGTCATGGCTTCTTCATCGTCTCTTGAGAAGCGGGGGGGGGGGTTTGAAACGGGGGGGGCTCATTGGTGGTTTTCTTTAGCGCGCGACCTGCTGCAGACTTGCCGGGCCTGCCTGCTGTAGGCCTGCCGAGCCCTGTTGTATGTAGTAGACCGCGGTCTGCTGGAGGGCGACCTTGCTGCGTGCGGGCTCGATGCGGATCAATTCTCGACGGTTTTCCCCGTCTCTCCTCCCCGTCTCTCTTCCCCGTCTCTCCTCCCCATCTCTCCTCCTCCTCCTCCTCCTTCCTTGACTCTCGCGCACCGCGTCATCACATGTTGCAGACGCACGGCCCAGGGAACAAGGGGGCTGGCTGGCTGCACAGGCACATGAGACTGTGCCTGTGCCTGTGTGCCTGTGCCTGTGCCTGTGCATGTGTGTCAGTAACAGAGTCCAAGAAGGCGGACGGTGACAAGTTCGCTTGCGTCTTTGAATCCCCTCTCTGGCCCGTAACACCGCTCTCCCTCTTCCTCCCTCTCCCCCTTTCTCTCTCTCTCTCTCTCACCTTGTGCGCCCCTACAGGCAACGACGCACACCGTAGGCAGCCGTCAATTCTCTCTGTCTGTTCCGCGCCTCTGTTGCATCGTCGTACAAGGTCGACTGAGGTTTCTGGGCGATGGATACCCACCCCTACTCCCTACTCTACAGTGCATGCACGCCGCGACCAGCTCTGCCCGTTTGTGCGCAAACTGCGGAGTAAATGCCAGTAAAGGGACAATCGAGAAGAGATATTGCCCCCTTTATATTGCCATTCAGCACTTTCCTACCGTCCTGCGCTGGAAAACGTCCTGCCCCCACCAAACTAGCAGCTGCCTCTCCCTCGCCTCCATCCACCCCCCTCCTGTCCAATACCCAAGGGCGGAAACACAACCATTATTGCACGATGCCCCTCATCGACACCAAATCCACCTCGCAATGAAGCATGAATCCCACCTTGTCCCCATTCCCCCTTCTCCCCATTCCCCCTTCTGCGCTGCGTTCCCACAAACCATGGACTACTCTCTCCCCTTGCCCCTCTCCCCCCTTTGCCGCGCCCAGAATTCAATTCAATCCAATCCAATCCAACCCAATCCATTCACTCACCACTCACTCCTTGCACATCTGCTCCTCCCGCGCCTTTGAGTTCCAGTCCCATCCCGCCCCCCTTGGGAGCCGCCAGGAAAGATACTCCCTACCCGAGGGCCAAACTCAAGGGCGAGCAGGGGTGTGGCGGTATCCGCGGCCCCATGTAGGTACGGAACGTGCGTCCGTTCGGGCCATGCACGTCGATAGATCTCAGATCTCAGATCTGCCGACCACAAAAGAAAAAAGAAACAATCACCGCCTTTGTGGTGGATGGGTGATTCGCATCTCGCCGCGCGTGTCGGGCTCGTGACCCCTCGTGTTTCCATGAAGAGACACTTGGCGGCGTGCCTTTTCTGCAGCGGCTCTTGGCTTGTCTGCGGCTGCTTTGCCCCATCACCACGTCACGGCACTGTCGAGTGGAGGCTTGGAGAAATCGCAGTATAGTTCCCAGCGTCAACTACCGTGCCTAAATCGTCGTCTAATCATGTGGTATTACTCATGTCGTTAGGGGTGAGAAGAAGAGAAAAGAGCCATAATCATGTCCAGTATCCCGTCCCCATCCCGTAGAGGAAGACAAGAAAAAAAAAGAGAAAACGCCGGTTCCCATCCCATGTCTCCCGTAAAATTCCCGTTGCGCATGTGGTATGCCCTGTTCCCGCGGTCGCCAGGTTGGGCTCGTGACTTGTACATCATCTTACTTTCCTTTGCACATCTCTTTACCACCCAGCCGTGACCGGCACGTGGCTGTCAATGGTCTCTCTCCGCCGCTTCATCGGCCGCGGGCTGCCGCCCCGTTCGTGCGAGCCCGGCGCCGCGCCCGCAGACAGTGGCCACTGGTGCTGCGCCCACATGGCTGCGTGGTGGTCGCCTTGCGACTCCATCTTGCCGGGCGGTCCCCATTCCGACGTCGCGCTCGTCGGCGCCGTGGCGGTCCCGGCCCAGCTGTCCAGGGCCGACATGTCCCAGCCCTGCATGTTGCCCGCGTCGCACGGTGAGCTGTCGTACACCAGCTGGCTGGGCATGTCCAGCGACGACGTGGCCGCCGACATGTATGGGCCGACGGCCGTGTTGATGGGCTTGACGTCGCCAAACGCCGACTGCGAGTCAAAGTATTGCTGGCTGTTGCCCAGCGACGTCGGTTGCCGGTCGTTGGCCGATCCGCCCCCCGTCGTCGGCAGGAAGTTGACTCCCCCACCGGGTCCCATGTTGGTGTCGAAGGTGCTGGCCGTCGAGTAAGCCCCGGGCAGCGTCGCCGTCGGCGGCGGAGTGGCCAGGCCGCTGGGGAATGACTCAAACAAGCTGAGCCCGTTGCCTGGCGTCTGCAGCGGCGGCACCTGGGGCACGTTGCTGTGGCTGTCCCACGCCGAGCTAAACGTCTCGTTCATGGCCGCCGTCAGGTGCTGGTTGATGGTGGGCGTCGGCGACATGACGGCGTCCCTCGAAACGCCCGCCGAAGGGTACACCAGTGCCTTTTGCTGGTGGTATCGCGACATGGGATCGTTGATGGTCAGCCAGCGCCACGTCGTCCCCGCCGGCTTGAAGACCGGGTTGTACTTGTGCCACTGGTTCGTCGTGTTGAAGCGCCAAAAGACAATGGCCTGTCGCGTCCACTGCGTCGAGTCCGGCGCACACGACCAGAGCTCCTGGTACATGGCCACCTTGCAGATCAGGTCGCTGCCCGTCGGCTCGCGGCGCGACCAAGAGGCGGCGTCTCCCTCGTCTTCCGATCGCTTGCGCTTGCTGCCGGCCCGCTCCAGGTCCTTCTTGTCGCCGTCGGCATTCCGACGGCGCTTCTCCCGGACGCGCTGGTGCTCCACGTCCGGGTACTGCACGGCCATGCTCAGGATGCTGGCCCACTCGACGGCTGGAAACGGCACGTGGATGTCCATGCGTGGGCGCGTGTGGCAATCACAGTCGCTCTTCGAGTCATTGCACCCGCGGCGATGGATGCCGCTGTCGTTGGTGTAGACACTTTGCTTGCCATCGTCGCTGCTGAGCTCTGCGGGCCGCGTCAGGCGCGTGATGCATTTCCAGCGATGATGTTGAAGCGCCGGCTGGGTAACGGCCACCTCGACGAAGCCGGTGAGCTCGGAGCCCGACGGGAACTTGGCGTGCTCGTGGAGCTCAATCGTCGCGCACATCTCCATCAGGAGGCAGTCCTCGTCTCGGGGAGGGAGATCCAGCGTGTCATACATGGCCGGCGCATCCTTTTGCCAGCGACGAGTGATGGACTTGACGCAGGCAGACGTGGTTCGGTCCAGAGACCGGGTGTACTCATGCAGCAGCACGTCCTTGCCGAGGACGTTGGGGCTGTCGTCGCAGTTGCTGTACTTGTTGAGGTGCGGAAAAGAGGCCTGGTCCAGCGGCGTGTCGTGCGCGTCGTAGGCTACGTCGTCGCGGATCTTGATGTCCGACGACGAGACGAAGACCTCGCACGTCTTGGGCCGCACGCAGATGGCCGACTGCAAGGCCAGGAGCTGGGAGAAGTACTCATAGTTGGGCTTGACGTCCGGGACTCGGCCCTCGGCGAGGGCTGTCAAGACGGGATTGGACTTGAACGACTCCTGCTCCTCCTCGTCGTAATAGTCGTCCGAGTTTGTGGAGCCAGGCTCCTTTTTCTCCTCAGACGGAAACAGGAAATGGACTGTCTGCTGTTAGTGGGCGCCGGACAGGTAGGTCTAAGAGGCAAGCTTACAGCATCGAAGGTCTTCAAAGAACTTCTTGACGACCTGCATGTGGCTGGAAACCTGTTTGCGCCCCATCTGCTCGATGCTCTCGTTGCTGTTGTCGATCCTAAAGATCTCTTTGCTGCCGAGCAGGGCGACGCAAATGACAAAGATGTACTCGCTGATGAGCATGTTGCGGCCATGGAGCTTGCCCCCCATGGAGAACTTGCGTCGGCCCATGTGCGGCATGAGCAAGACGGCTGGACAGCATCTCTGGTCAGCGACGTGACTCGGTGGCGAGGGGTGGGGCACATACAGTCAACGAAGGCATCTTCGAGCTCGGGGCGGCGCCAGACGCCTCCTTTGTCCTTTTGGGTATCTTTGTGGGCCTGGCGGTTGCGGTACTGTCGGAAGGCGGGCCAGAAGTAGAGGGGGTTGATGGCGTTTCTGGGCCTCCGTTGATAGCGAGGCTGCTGCCGGGGCGTTGGGACGCGATAGAGGCAGTCAAAGGACTGCGATGGGACCATGGGGGCGGGAATGTTGGGCTGCATCGACGGCGAGAGCGCCACCGGACTCTGGTAGCACGAGACTATGCCATTGAAGTTGTGCGACTGGGCATTGCCAGTGGACTCTCGCAGCGGCAGCCTGGCGGCCTGGATGGTGCCGCTCCGGCGAGCGTCAACGTAATCGGGAGACTCCGAATATCTCTGCGTCGAGACGACGGGCCTGGCCTGGTAGAGCGAAGAGGACATTGTGGAAAAGGCTCAACGCCACACAAGGAATGTCGGCGGAGGTGCTCACACGAGAACAAGCTCGAGCAGCGCAAATGCCTCTGAGGACCGCCAAGTATCAGAGAGGAGAAGGAGAGAGAGCGAGATGAAGAGGATAAGAAATGCTGAGAGGAATTTGGGGATGTGGAATGGTGGGATAAATGTATGCTCTGAAGGAGGCGAGGATGAGGACTGGAACGGAGACGTCTTCCCGCCGACGAGATAAATCCAAGACCTGGAGTGGACAGAGATCGTATTGACAAAGGAAGGGCTGGACAGGGTTTATCCGACCTGGGCCCCTCGACAACCTAAACCATCAAGATCCATCTGCGCGGCAGTCTGTAGTAGCTGCTAGTTAGCCCCAGTGATAGGCCCAAGGTAGGGTAGGGTATTGGTAGGGTGGTATATCACGGCAAAAGGTAAAGGAAAAGGGGGGGGCGTGTGTCTCTTCTGTGTCTGTGTGGGTGGGTGGGTTTTACCTGTCAAACTGCCAGCCAAGCTCGGGACAGCGGGGACCAGCCATGTCTTGTTCGGATGAGCTCCTCGGCAGCAGCCAATGGCGCGCCGGGCGCAAATAATCCCACAAGGCACATGGCAGCTAGAGGTCTGCAGCGAGGGCGTTAGTATGCAAGGGAGACAGAGCTTCGGGGCGGGGCCTCGTCGTCTCATCACCAACACGCACCCCACCCCCTTTCTCTGCTCGTCCCAGAGACACTCTCATGCTGGAGACTCTTCTTCGTCAAGTCGTCACCCCAGGTATGCGGAGAGATTGGCATCAGACAAGAGTGAGCTTCGCTCCTGACAACCGAATTCTTCGTCTCGAGTCGCTCTTTGTTGCTTCTCCCTCCTCGTCCTCTTTTTTCTCGCTCGCGCCTTCAATATTCCCCTCCCCTCCCCCACCAAATCAACAATTGCCCCCCTTCCCCCTCCCCCCAAGGGAGCCATGGTATGCGTGGGCCAAGGGGAGAGAGAGAGGGTTGCTGTAAACCACCAAATAGTCTCTTGCTTGACCTGTTCACCTACTCGTCCATTTCCTCTTCATTCTTGCCAATATTGACCTTTTTCCTCCTCCCCCCGCCCGTAAGCTGCTGAAGGGCTACTTTGTTGACCTGGCCCCCTACCTTGCGCTGCATCTTCTCAATCTCCTCCTCGGCGTCGACCGCCTCCGCCTCTGCATAATCCAGCACAAGCCGGCGCCCGAGCAGATGCGTGTCCCTCAGCGCGTTTAGTGCATTCTCTGCTTCCCTCGCCGTGACAAAGTCGGCAAACGCAAAGCCCCTTGTAGTATGGTCCGCCTTCTTTGGAACGCGGACCGATCTGAGCTGCCCGTACGTACCGAACAGCGCCCGGACGTCCTTCTTGGTGGCTTGGAAGGGCAGGTTCTTGATGACGATCTTGGTCCTCTGCGCCGCCGCCTTCTTGGCCCGATCTTCCCGCCGCCGTTCCTCGGCCGCGTCATGACCCTTGTGCGACGCTTTGACGCCCAGCGTGTGCCCATCCAGCACGTGACCGTCCATGACCTTAAGCGCCGCCTGCGCCTGCGCTTTGGACCGAAACTCGGCGAATCCAAAACCCATGCTGAGCGTCTGCCCGGCCTTCTTGGGGTCCATCTTGGTCTTGACCCGGGCGGAGACAAATCCGTCCAAGGACTCGAAGGCTTCGGCCAGCCTGCTAGTGCTTGTGGCGAAGTTTAAATTGCGGATAAACAGCGACGTCGTTTCCGCCTCCTCCGCCGCACTGCCGCCTGACAGCAGCTCGTCAACGCTTAGCTTCTGAACCCCTGTCGCCTTATCCACCCGGGGCGACTGATCCGACTCGTCACCTCGGAGCAGATCTTTGGGGCCTTTCTCCAAGAAAAGGACGCTATCCCTGATCCGTCGGTAGGCGAGCTTGCCAAACGCAGCCTTTGCGTGGTTTGCCTGCGCGAACTGGACAATAGCAATTGTCCCGCTCGGGGGCATCAGCACCTTGAGCACAGGCCCAAACTCCCCAAACATGCTTCGGAGCTCGTCCATGGTAGTGCCGTACGGGAAGTTCTTGACCAAAATGGTCGTGTCGCCCCGCTTGTGGGACTTGAAGGCGTCCAGGTCCACCCCATTGGCGGCAAAAAACGACTTGGTCTCCTGGATGACAGACGTCTCCGCAATGGCTTGCTTGATGGCGGCATCCGCCGAGGTAGGGTCGAGCAGCTCCGACTTTGAGACACCCAGGCGGTTGGCCACGGAGGCGTTGACGGCGTCCTGGTTCATGTAGAGCGAATTCCAGTTGAAGGTTGCCGACGCCGCCCCGGCCTTTTTTCGAATCAAATTTTGTTTCCTCAGCGACAGCTTTGAAATTCCAAACTCGTCCAATCCCACGTCCTTTTTCTCGCTCGCTGGAATGATGTGGATGATTCGCCCCTGAAACGTCGCCCCATCCAGCGCTTGGAATGCCTTCACCGCGTCGGATGGATCTGTAAACAATACAAGGGCGAATCCCTTGCTGGACCCCGAGGCGTTGACGGGCAAATGTACCTGACTTCAAGGTTAGCCTTCCCGCTGTTTAGGACGGCAGTGCTCGGCATTGTCCAAGTGTGTGAGGCAGGGCAGGCGCGTCAGAAATCGAGGCATCTACTAAAATTCTCGCCCGGGATATGCATCATATACCGAAGTATAAGCTGTCCCTATCGTGGGGTTCATCATAGCGCCTTGTGTGCCCATGGAGTATAAGGGACAAGGGGGAGGAAACAATCGGCTTGTCCAGGTGACGACGTACCTCTTGCAGGGCGCCAAACTTGTCAAACGTGTCGCGCACATCATCTTGGGTGGCGCTGTAAGGCAGGTTTCGAACAAAGAGGCGCGATGTCCTGGAGATTGCGTCCGCTGCTTCGCCCTGAGTAACTCCCGGGGTCCTGGTCACGCCGTCTGTCGCGTCAGGTGTCATCTCGTCGGAGGAATGAGCGGTTTCTCCATCAGCCTCGGTGTCTCGCGTCAGGGATCCATCCGCGGGACTTGGCATGGCGCCGGCAGTGAGGTCGTCCGGGTCGACAAGATCCAGTAGCCTGTTGGTGCGCGACCGCAGCCAATCATCATCCGTCGCCTCAGTTGTCGGAGCCATTCTGTCGTCTATCGCTGAATCAACGACCTCACCCCTTCCTTGGCCATCAGTAATCGGGTGTTTCTGAGTAGCCTCGCCATCCCTTGACGGCGCGAGGTGGTCGCCATGTGTCGGAGAACGCACCCTCCGCGACTTTTCTCTTCTCACAGGAACCTGCTCGTATTCGTCGTCACTCGCACTCTCTGGAACAAGTGGCTGGTCTGGTTCCAGGTCCTTGATGATGTCGACAACTGATTCATCTGCGACTACACCTTCCCTTCCGGGCTTCATGACGTGGAGGAACTCGCGCAGCTTTGGGTCTGCCTGGGCCGGCTCATCTCGCTTCCGTTTCTTGGGGTTGGCTTCCCCGTCAGAGAACGTCTTGGAAGACCCCTGGCCGCCTGACTGCGCACGCGCGGAGCGAGCTGCTGCATCGTGGCCCAAGTCTGAGATCTAGCATTCCATTCAGCATCAGAAGTGGGGGACACAGCCCAGTGTGGTGGCTCGTACCGGTCTAGCGGGCTCAACGGCAATCTTGGACATGCGGATGAATGATTTGTTGAAGTATCTGACAGCCTGGGAGGCGTCATCTGAGCTCTTGAAGCCTACATAGCCAATGCGCCGTTGAGGGATCAGCTTGACGTCGGTGACTTCGCGGTTCTTGGCGGAAAAGTGTTTGCGAAACTCGGCCTCTGTAATATTAGGTGGCAGGCCCTTGATGAATATTCTGGACGTGGCCATGGCAATGCAGAGCAGTGTGATGGTTTGAGAGCGCACGGCATGCGGCCATGGCAGCCTGCACGAGATTGAGGATGGTGACGAGGGGAGAAAATTTCTACATGAAAAAAAAGCCATGATCCTAGTGACGGTCGTCTAGGCGGCTATTTTTTAGTCCGCGCGCCAAGATGTGGTGCTGCCCCGGTAAGAAACAGCTACCCTATACCACATTTTCTCATATCGCTGACGAGTTTGTACTGGTCCTTTGGGTTGATGCACTTTACTAACTTGCTTTCCGAAAGACAATTGACGGTTTCTCTTTTCACTCTAAAAGTAACTGATCAGAGGTCGAAAGTAGAACACAAATCTAAAAATCGGTGGGCGAACGAAGTATCACGACACGTGTGGACAAATGCCAAACTGAATGCTCAGGCGACGACGTCGACCAAGTCCAGGCGATAAGTCACCTATATGCGCACTCATCCCTCAGAAACAATACGGAAAAAAATAAATTGAAAACAAAAAGCGAACTGCGTGTGATCTGCCTGCCTTCTTTCAAATGGCCAGTGTCTGCGTCACAATTCAGATCTACAAAAAGAATGATGAGACTGGGACTCGAACCCAGGAGGATTGCTCCACCAGGAAACTGATGCTAAGGATATACACCTTTCCTTAACCTGGCGCCATAACCAACTCGGCCATCTCACCGTACTCCGATGATTGCTTTGAAGATTATTTGCAATTATATAGTAAACATAATTGTGTCTGGACACATTGATTTGAGACGAAGCAACTCCATCAGCGAGCCACCAACCATGAGTCTGTTCCTGTATCCCTTCTTGCACCCTTGCCTCTCCTTCTTGAGATATGAAATAAGCTTCCTCGCCTTTGTGAAGTCGATTGACAGCGCCGTGGTCTTCGGTTGGAGATTGCTCGTCTCCGCGATCAAAGCCCTTGATTGGCTCGGGTGCCATGGGAGACAATCCAGTATATAGGCTGGGGCGACTCGCCATGGCTTAACGGCCATGCATAAGCTCGTGAGGACGCTGAAGTAGTATCACCATTACATCTTGGGCTTCTTCGAACGCTCCAGATCTGGCTGGGATCGAGTGAGCGTGGCTCGCCTCCAAGGGGCATGTAAGCGATTACACAGATGCTCGACACCCAGCACATGCTCGACCCGCCGTCTTCTCGAAATTACCCACTACTATGTCAAGCAAGTTTTCGAGCGAATAACGCAGCCGGGCTCATCATTGCTATGAGAGGTGACCGATAGACAACCGCCCTCGCGGTCAGCATCCCAGTGCAAACGATGGGACTGAGAGGCAAAGCCGGACCCTTCACAGGCACCAGCGAGCAACATTACCGACCGCAAGCGTTATTGTACTTGTTACTAGATGACCGAGGGTCGAGGGCCTCTCGCGATTCGTGCGAGTAACGGGAGAGCTATCGCAAAGGAACGACTGGATACTCAGGGAGAGGACCAGACTGGAGGCTCGGGCATGTTGGTCCCACTAGTAGAACAGAGGCTTTCGCAGGGAATAGCTCCATTCAGTCCTCTGTGACGATATAAGAGCACCAAACCGAGGCTCGGCATCGAGAATCTACCCCACGGCTGGCCCTGCGCCGCGACGGCGGGTTGTGTTGCCTAATATATCTTTGAAAGCTCGATTGGAAGGTTCAGCAATCGATCACATCTCTATTTGAAGCCTCTAGAGCGATCCACGCGAGCCTTTCAGATATAAGTTATTGCCATGGGGCGCGGGTCGAGGCATCTGAGCCGTAGCTCATCGGCTCCCCAAGATCTCTTCGTGCCCTGACAAGAGTCAACCGGCAAACTTAAAGATAAACGCATCATCTCCTGCTCAACTGGTTAAGCCTTTGGCCTCTTCTATATGGTCATTTGCGCTTCGAAATCGCATGTTCATGTCGAGCTGGGTGTTGACCGGCCTTGTAGAATGAGCCCCAACCAAAGGCGGACCACGCCCTCGACCACCAGCTGCCCTTCCGGGAGCTCTGTATTCACGAAGAAGTAGGTATAGCTTGCAGTAAGTGAAAACTAACCTCCTTGGATGACAAAAGGGAGGAGGCGGACAACGTCTCGCAAGGCTCGAGTTGACAAGGTCACCACCCCCTTTGGATCTGGTTGCCTCATCCCAGGTAAGCACAGTGGCTCCTCGTAATAATGATATATCCATGATGGGCCACTGCCTATTATCAGCCAGCTGCTTATTCTCCCAAGTTGTCTTGCTCGATAGACAAGTGTATCTATCTAGGACCTTGCAGGAGCCATCGAACTGACGCCCTTGAGAATGCTGTGTGATGCCATGTCGATTGGTCAGACAGGCCACTGCGAAAGGTGCGTGTGTTGCGAGCCATATAAATTATCCACTTGTTAGTGTCCTGGGTCTAATTCCATTTCTCTCTTCCCCTCAGATTCTCGATATAAAGCTGCTGCACTTAGACTTATGAATACTTTATCCCAACTGCATTGGAGAGGAGCCAAATAGTCGAGGCACCCCGGTTTCGGCGTCCCTTTGTCGTCTCCCGTGCCAATAGTCAATGCGCGAAGAAGGTGGATGGTCGAGTTTGGTGGCAAGTACACTGGTGAACCGAAGCCCTGGAAGCTCTCGTGGACGCTGGAATGTGAGAAACGTGAACTGGGCGGAGGAACGCTCCGGCGTGTGAGGCAGCGTTCAGAAGGCCACTTCCATCATGTCGCCAGGAATCGTCGCTTCCACCTCGGTTCCGCACTTGAGCGGACGGTTGACCATGGCCGGCTGTTGTTTGTGCTCTCATCGACGTCGCTTGGGCGCCAAAGCCCTATTGGAATCACAAAGACTTCTCTCTCTCTATATGCTGGCTGCTGCTCACGACAGACAGGTAGATGCCCAGAACCAGCATGAATCATGGTGACGTTGGCAGGCCAGGGACTGCACTTTGCCGGTAAACGCAAGTCTATGTACAGCATCCTATGAGCCGTCACTTGTCTCGTCCCGTCGCCTTCTCGCTTCACTGCCGTGACCTTTTGCATGCTGGCCAAGCCGTGAGATGGGGGCAGCGCCTCGAAGCACGCCGGCCATGTCTCCAAGTTGTCCTGTTTACATGCACTAGGACTCGGCCGTGACGAGGAAAGGGGTGGGGGGAGAGTCGAGTGGCGGTGAGTCGGCGGCTGTCGGGAGGCGGCCGGTCTTGCGGCTCGGCGGCCGGTCCACCGTCACTCACCGCCGACCTGCTATTTTTAGGGCGGCACACCACCGGTACCTGCAGGGTACCGCGACCAGCAAAGCAGCCCATGTACAGGCGCGGGTGTGGCACAGCAAATGTGCCTGGTCAGGTACCGGCTGCCCGACGGGCCGGGGAGCACAGGCCGTATCCGCCGAGTCTCCTCTATCTCTGCGTTGCTCCCCTCGTCCGAGGCTGGCTTTGCCACCCACCAGCCCCAGCAAAAACGCGACCTGGGGAAACGCGACACCAGAAAACCGCCCCATCGTCGCCCCGCGACCAGCTCCTCGACAGATCCTAGAGAACCTTGTGCGTGAGGCTTTGTCATTCCTGTCCCGCCCAAGCTCCGTGTTTGATGGTGTACCCTCCTCTTCGCCGCCAAGGGACCGAACTACGGCGAGGGGCGGGAAGCCGGTGCGAAAGCACCCCGAAGCTGCGACACTCGCTCACCCCACGGTCTGCTGATTCGACACCTTAGCAGGCCACGTCGACATCACCATCGAGCCGACTCAGAATGTCCGAGTCCAAGGTCGAGACCCCCGCGCCGCGGGAGAAGCTTGAAGGTATGTTGCGCCTCGGCCGTCCATCTTCCCGGCGCCGGCCAGGGAAATGGAAAAAACGGCGACGACAAGGCAGACGACGAGCCAAGACGGCGCTGACAGGCTCCATAGCGCAGATCAAGTCGGCCGACATGGTGAGGGCGCCACCCCACTCCCCGATGCTGCGCCCGAGGACTGACAATGACCAAGACGGACGACATGCAGCAAGAATCCATCGAAGTTGGTGCGTCCATCGCACACCGCCACCGGGTCGAGCGAGACTGACCAGCGCACAGCCCAGGAAGCCATGGCAAAGTTCACCATTGAAAAGGTCAACCCCCCTCCCTTGGGCTCCAACTGCCCGTCCTCGCTCAACGCTGGGACAGTATTGCTGACATGCTACCGTCAGGATATTGCGCAACACATCAAGCGAACAGTCAGTGGAACGATTAGCGGCCCTCAATCCCATCATCACGAGTCGGCGCCTCGTGGCCCTGCTGACCGCCAACGCAACAGTTTGACGAGAGAAAGGGTCCGACCTGGCACTGCATCGTCGGCCGCAACTTTGGAAGTTTTGTGACGCATGGTGAGTCGAGCCGGCAAGGGTCTAGCCCCCCGTCGTACTGCGCAGCCACCTCCACGTCGAACCGCGTCGTCCCTTTGTCTGTGTCCGAGCGTTGGCTGATGGGGGTGACTTGGGCGCAGAAACGAAGCACTTCATCTACTTTTACCTTGGCCACTGCGCCATCCTCCTCTTTAAAACGCAGTGAGAGATCGGCCAGCGGGAACGGCGGGAATCGATGCTGCTGCCTCTCCTTGGCATCGCAAAGGGCACAGGGAACCGAAGCAGGCGCCGGACGAGAATCGAATCACACGCAAGGATGTCGGAACAAGTTTGGCGTCGAGGGCCAAGGGGATACAACGGTCGACTTTAGTCTACCATGATACAATACCACTAACAAAGCATCCCCCAAAAGGGTTGTCCGTCGGGCTCCCGTGACTGTGTTGGATGGACATGCTTGACGCCGCCTTCTCCGCTCCTATGACCCTGGAGGAACGCCGGCAGGCGACGTGGCGCACAGCCTCGACCCCCACCCTCAGCCCTCTGCACAGCAGTCAGTCAGTCAGTCGTCCTGAGAAGTGCCGCTGCCTGGTCAGGTACCGATGGCGTTGGCATGCCCGACAGACGTGCAGCTGGCAGCTCACGGGGTGGTGATACTCTCGATCTCCTGCCACCCCCGCGGCATGTCTCAGGAACAGCCGACAGGTCCCCGCCGACCTCGCTTCGCCATCCACGTCGCCCGATGGACGTGGCGTCGTCGAGAGAACGATATCCAAGGTCATTCGAGGGTACATCCTCGTTCATCGACTCCAGAATGCGGTTGCGTCCAAGCATCGGCGGACCTGTGGCGGGCACGGGGGATGAGTAGAAACGCCCCCGGTGAGTGGTGAAGCGCGTGCGTGGCGAGCCAGGATGGAGACCGGGGAACAGTGAATGGAGATGTGGCGGAGGGACGGTCTTTCGATGCGACGCCCCTCATGTCATGACAGGCGAACATGAATGCCTTCCCCTGCCGAGGGACGCGCCTCTCAGGTCCTTGAACTTGGCGTGGAGCAAGCACCGTCCCAGTATGGACTTGGCACTCGTGACACGCAACTGAGAGGCCCGTGGAACCACGGAAGCTCTTTTTATCTACCCGCAACAGGCTGGCTTTGCCTCGGTAACACGGAGAATCGAGCCCGCCCAGGATACGACGGTGCAGGCAGCACGCACCGTCTCAAAAGGGCCCTTGGATGCAACGTCTCCCTGGGCGATACTCGCTTGGAGGAGCTACGGCAAAAACCAGCGTGGCCCGGCGTGGCTACTAACGACGGCCTGGTGCAGAGGAGGGAGGAGGTCGGCGCACCGTGAACTTGGCACGCCACCCGAAGGCGACTAGCCTGACGCACCGAAGAGGGAGAAGAGGAGGAGGACGGTAGACGACGACGCGATGAAGAGGGAGATACCCCGCTTTTTGCCCGCGGGTGGCATCGTGAGACCGACGTCGCAGACGTCTCTGCGGCGATGGCTAGCGGCGATGGCTAGCGGCGGCGCGGTAGGTCAAGCCGCTGACGCAGAAGCGAAAGGGTTCCCATCCATTCTGATTCCTACCTGGGGTTCCATCGGGGCCGTCTATGCGTGGGGAGCAAAGGTGGCTGCACATCACATCCAGCCAGGCTCATCGTGGCCGTTTGGCTGTTGTGCGAAGTACAGGGTAGGCAGAGGTGGCAACGGGAGGGGTGCTCAAACGCCGCGCGGGTCTCGACTTGGGGCCCGTTAACGTCAGCCACCTAGCTTACAGCATACCCCCCTTCCGGCACATCCCCACCACCCTCGCGCCGACATCAACATTACATCGCAACCGCGTTTTCTCGTGCACCTTCTATCTAATAATTATAAATAATATACTATTCGAATTACGATACCTCGAGCTTCTAAATACACCGAAGATTAGCTCTAGGAAGCACTTTTCGATATTAGAAACGGGATGCCGTAGATATATACTAGTTATAAGGAGGGTATTCTAAGAGGCACGCTTTAAACGCGTCTTAAAGGCGCCCTACTGATAAGAGAGGTATAAGAGTTATATTAGCGGCTTAGTCGAGAGCAAGAGAAATACCTTAAGGACTAGATTCTTGCCTAAGCCGTTCTTAGGCTGCCCCCTACGTACTTTTTTAGCTTAAGGAATTTACTAGCCGTATTATTAGAGCTAGCGGCGACCTTCGCTTACTTAGGAAAAATTAGGTATTAAGCTTTTTAGCCCGTAACTAAGAGGTTAGCACGATTAAATATAAAGCTCTTAATTCTACTTATATTAATAGCGCCTCTATAGCTCGGATTACGGAGTGGTTTTAGTTACTTAACCTACTAGCTTTATAGGCAATTCTACCGGAATTACGCTTTAATATAGACGAGACGGGTATCCTTAAGGGCCTTAGCTATAATAGCCTTATACTAGGGAGCTTAGAGAAAAAAGAGACCCTTAAAAGGCGGCTTAGATTACGTTATTAGACTATAATAGTCGAATATATCTCTATTATAGGTTAGGTCTTAACCCCCCTTATTATCTTTAAAGGTTAGGACCTTTAATACTAATAGTTCCTTAACGAACTTAATTTTCTAAAAGATTAGAACTTCGTAGCCTCCCTAAGAGGCTAAGCTAAATAAGTAATAAGATCGCGATTTAGTAGCTTAAAGATATTTTTATCTTATAGATAAGTATAAGAATATATCCTTATATTCCTATTTTACTATTATAAAGAACTAATAAGTATAGGGAGGCTCTATAAAATAAGCTAGTAAAAAGAAGCTCTATAATATAGTCTAAGGGAATAACCCTTAAAGATAAAAGACCTCTATTAGATATCTATACCTTTCTTTAAGAAAAGCGGGTTAAGATAAGCCTATCTTAATAAATAAATATATATATAAAATATATATTAAAAGGTATAAGCAATAAGTATAGGATTAGGTAATCGATAATATAAGCGGAAAGATCGGTTAAAGAAGTATAGGGTAGGATTTCGTCTAGAATTTATAACGAGTATATAAGAGGCTAAATAATATATTAAAAGAATAGCGTTATAAAAGATACTTATAAACTTACTTATTCTATCTACTACTTTTAGGGAAATCCTTTATCTTTTATAGACTATTACTCGCCTACTAGTAGACTAATTAGTTAGCTTTTTAGTATATTCTATAGTGCTTAAAAAGCTCTATTTATAGTATATCTTCCTAACTTAGTAGGTAGTCTAATTATAACGTAATAGTTAACGTAAGACTATAGGTTCTAGTATAAGTAGTAGATTTAACTAGAATATTCTATGCCCTACCTATTTTTATATCGCGGATATCTTTAGAACCGTTAGGCTAAAATAAGTAATAGGGTATCCGTTTTACTTATAATTAGCTTATATATTTTATATATATTTTATTTTACTAGGATATATAAGAATATACCCTTATATTCCTATTTTACTATTATAAAGAAATAATAAGTATAGGGAGGCTTTATAGAATAAGCTAGTAAAAAGAGGCTCTATAATATAGTCTAAGGGAATAACCCTTAAAAGATAAAGACCTCTACTAGATATCTATACCTTCCTCTAGGAAAAGCGGGTTAGGATAAGCCTATCCTTATAAATAAAAATATATATAAAATATATAAGTTAATTACGAGTAGAACGGATACCCTATTGCCTATTTTAGCTTAGCGGTTCCGAAGATATCCGCGATATAAGAATAGGTAGGGCATAGAATATTCTAGTTAAATCCACTACTTATACTAGAACCTATAGTCTTACGTTAACTATCACGCTATAATTAGACTACCTACTAAGTTAGGAAGATATACTATAGATAGAGCTTTTTAAGCACTATAGAATGTGCTAGAAAGCTAACTAATTAGTCTACTAGTAGGCGAGCAATAGTCTATAAAAGATAAAGGATTTCCCTAAGAGTAGTAGATAGAATAAGTAAGTTCGTAAGTATCTTTTATAACGCTATTCTTTTAATATATTATTCGGCCCCTTATATACTTATTATAAATTCCGGATAAAATCCTACCCTATACTCCTTCGACCGATCTTTCCGCTTACGTTATCGATTACCCGATTCTACTCTTATTACTTATACCTTCTTTTAGGATAGGCTTATCTTAACCCGCTTTTTTTAAAGGAAGGTATAGATATCTAGTAAAGGTCTTTATCTTTAAGGGTTATTCCCTTAAACTATATTATAAAGCCTCTTTTTACTAGCTTATTTTATAGAGCCTCCCTATACTTATTATTTCTTTATAATAGTAAAATAAGAATATAAGGGTATATTCTTATAATATATAAGTTAATTATAAGTAAAATAAATACCCTATTACCTATTTTAACTTAGTAGTTTTAAAGATATCCGCGATATAAGAATAAGTAGGGCATAGAATATTCTAGTTAAATCTACTACTTATACTAGAACCTATAGTCTTACGTTAACTATTATATTATAATTAAACTACCTACTAAGTTAGGAAGATATACTATAAATAGAGCTTTTTAAGTACTATAGAATATACTATAAAGCTAACTAATTAGTCTACTAGTAGGCGAGTAATAGTCTATAAAAGATAAAGGATTTCCTTAGGAGTAGTAGATAGAATAAGTAAGTTTATAAGTATCTTTTATAACGCTATTCTTTTAATATATTATTTAGCTCCTTATATGCTCGTTATAAATTCCGGACGAAATCCTACCCTATACTCCTTCGACCGATCTTTCCGCTTACGTTATTGATTACTAGATTCTGCGCTTATTGCTTATACCTTCTTATAGGTTATAAGCCCGGCTTCTCTATAAGTCGGGTAATAACTTCGAAAAATCTTTGAAATTTTAATACTAACTATACGACCTTGAATTATCTAAAATAGGCTCTAAGGATAAGTTCGAATTTGCTAAACTTAAGGGTAGTTCTAACTATACCTTCTAGGCTATTCGAATGCAGGCTCTTCTAGTTAGAGAGAAGCTTTCTACTACTATATAGCAAGAAAATTACTCGAAAATAGAAGAAGCACTTGCTTTAATTTTTCTTTGTATTAAAGATGGTCCTTTAACCTAAATAAAGCATATAACAAATGCTAAAGAGGCGTGGGATAGGTTAAAAAACCTATATAACCCTATTTCCTTTACCTCGAATTACCTACTTATAAAGGAGCTTTTTAATACTTCGGTAGGATTTGAATCC